TAGGAAAATGTTTGACTATTTATTTAGAATTTTTGTCTTAATTTTATTTTCTTTACCATTTGGTTGTATGCGGCCATATACCAAATTATTTTTTCTCAACATCTGTTTTTTTCTATGAAAAGAAAAAATTTTCATTTTTTTATATAAGTTAGTTTTGGTTTTTGTAGCCACTTCTCTTTTAGAGCCTTATTATAGGAATTGATAAATATTCATTGAAAATTTTGTCATTTGCTGAATTTGTACTAATTCGTTTACTGATAGATAACAGTATATGTTTAATTATAGATGGGGGTGATTCGATTTAGGTGTATATATAAAGGATTGGTGTTGGGTTTTTATAAAGGTGTGTATGTATTTTTATTTAGATCTAATGTTATATCTAGGAAGTTCACTTTTTTTAGTTTAGTGCTAGCCGTAATTTTTAAGCCCATGCTTTTAAATTCTTTATATAATACCTTTCTAATTCTATCTATTTTGAAGTTAGTTGAGTTTCTAATAACCATAAGTACATCGTCTCTGTATATCTTACTGTTCTTTTTTTTTATATATATATACACACACACACACACACACACACACACATATACATATATATATATATATATATATATATATATATATATATATATATATATATATATAACTTGGCTATTTCCAATTCAAGAGCCATTGAGATCAACAGCAGATATATTTTCTGATATAAGTGCCAGAAGATAGTGTCAATTTGTTTGAAGAGCTGAAAACTTGAACGTAGATGTAAAACACTTGATGTTACACTAAAGCTTGCATCGAGAGGCTAGCAGTTTGTGGATGCTTGTAGCTTTTCTTAGGCATAAGTCTATTGTCTGTATATCCCTGTTATGTTAAGATGTATGAGTTTCTCCTTTGACATTCCCCAGAATTCTGTTCTAAGGTTAGTAGGGAGTATGGAAAATTAAGCTTATTGAATAAAAATATGGCATATAATAAACACCCCCAAGCAACTACATGTTGCATTCATTATAGGAAAAGATATATCCTCTAGATTGATCCCAAATGAAAAGTGGAAATTGTCTGGTTGAAAAGAGGAAAAAAAAAAGACAAGTGGAGACATTGTTGGGGATGGACACATTCCACAATGTAGAAATAAAAACATATCTGCACCAAATGCTAAACATGAACAAGGGAAGTGTGAGAAACAAAGGACTATTCCTTTGCACACTGAACAAGATCAAAACTAGTTTCAGAAGTCTAAAGGTTAATTAATCTTAGAAAAATAAACATAAAAAGGAAGACAAACTAATTCAAACACAAACCTAATTACCTTCAACATTCTTCAAATACCAAAAGAAATCAAAAATTAGTTACATCATCAAGAATGTGGACCAATATATACCCTCTTAGTTACAAATGCCAGAAATATGGTCATCACACAGCCAAATGTTTGGGATGACAAATGTATAGATGTGACCATCCTAAGGGGAGAAAGTGATGGCGCAATTGAATGTGCTGTCATGAAGATCACCCAGTATATGCATGAATATGAAAAATATGAAGAAAAAAGGAAATAATGAAGAAACATGCCATTCCCAAAGGCATGAAAGATGGTGGCGGTCCTAACTAGAAATATATAATATTTGAGTGTTGGGTAGATATCAATTGCAACCAACACCGACCAACTGCATAAATACAAAGCACTAATTAAGAGGTGACTAAACCTGATGGGCCAACATTCATAAAAGAAATAAAACTAACACTTTTGAAAAGACAAACCCAATCCATTGTTAATCTCCACAAAACCAAACTCATCAAAACAAAAGTGTGAAAAACAAAATGAACAGAATGCGTCACCAACTTATTCTAACCAAGAATGACACTCAAAAAAGCTTGTACCAAACCAAATTCCTTCAAACAGAAATCACTGAGCTCTCCAGTATGACCACTTCTCTCTACTTACATTAGTTGCAGTTAATTCTTAAATTTTATAAATATTCTTTGTATTTTCATATTTAAAATCTATTTTTTAAATTGAAAAATCTTTCTTTTTTTTAAATTATATAAAACATTAAAAAAAATTATGGAAATGTTCTTCATTGTAATTTATATAGAAAGGCTAACATTAAAACTATTAATTCATTATGCTTTTTGTCCTATAAGACATATATTTAGTTCTCGATCAAAAAAGACAAATTTCAACAGTGAATAGCTCAAGAAGAGTTGCCATGTTGTAAAATCAACCATCCAACTAATCTAAATTTTATCTAATTCATCAGTTTTCAATTTCCAAGGGTATCAGAGAATTCTTTTTGTAGTTCAAAATCTCCTTGTTTATTCTCAAGACATGCTTGCACCTACTGCATCATTTGCATAAGATTCAGTGATCCTTCTTATGAGTTCACTGTTATATTTTCCAGATTAAATGTGAGTAAACAATGTTGAATTTGCATATTATAGTTAGCCATGATTTCCGTGAAAATATAGTAAAATTATCACTTTCTTGTAAATGATTATGAAAAAATATGCACACACAGGCAATAAAGAGCTGAGTAAACTTCATAGACACTTTTAAGATTTCCATAACATTGTTCCAAGGCAAGAGCTGGAAACTTTTGCATCAGCTTAATATATATTAGGTAATCAGTAAGAAAATATTTTAAGAGTTTTACAGAATCTCTTATAATATTTTCTTTCAACTTTTCATTTTTAACAAAAATTCTCATATTTATATAAACACCAGAAAAAAAGTTGGTGTTTAAAATTTATAACCAGCAGATTTAAACTATGAGTCATTATTTAATAACAGAATACATTAGGTAACAATCTTAGCAGAGAGAAATACTAAGTTGTCAGAATAAGTTCACATCCTGACATAGTTTTGAGCTATATTTTGATCTGTAAATTTAATTTTATAATATTGGATCTCTGTGATTAATACTCCCAATTGAATTATGGGCATTGACAAGAAATGGAGATAGGGAGATTGTTTTTTTAAATAATTATTTAAAATAAAGGTTGTTTTTTTTTTTTTTTATAATTAGGCTGCAAATTTTACTGAGGTATCTCTGTAAAATTAAAAAATTCACAAATCTATTCATAATAATAAAATTTGAGTATAAGTAGCTTTCCTTACTACCTATAAACATTAGTATGTGACACTGACATAACTACTTTCATTAGTAGTATAGATTTCTGTGTTCTGACAAGGGTAGAGTTACTGAATATTTTGTAGATAGCTTTTATCTATAATTTTAATGCTTTGGTAAAATGTTTAAAAAGTTAAAGGTGGGAAAACACTACAGAGTGATGTAAGCCTATTATTGTACTATCGTGACTTGGCTTTATAAACAAAGATTTAGGAAGGCATTCCTTTTTTGTTACAGGCTGTTGCTGATGTCTCTATGGGACTGACAAATTCTACCACAGTTGCTGCAGGTGAAGGTTGAGTAACACCAGTTTTATAGCACTGTCGTATTTCTTCGGCATCGGTTCTGTGGTTTTCTTTGGAAAGGGAAGTTGCCTGGAAGACTGTCATTGTCTCTCTGACAACAGCTTCTATTACTCACTGGGGGTAGTTGATAGGAAATAAGCATTCTATTTTTTCTTGTATCTCTTTTATGGTGCCTCTCTGTTTTTCTGGCCAGTTGAGAGGGTTTTTGGTACAATCATCTTCCAGCTAAATGACCTGCTAGCATAGACATATCTTTTACAGCCTAAACATCAGTGTTAGAGGCATTGGCAATTTTGAGGATTTTAGCATTTGTAATGAAGTCAATAAGGATGTTCATGTTGTGTAATGGTTAGCAGCATGGAGAGTCAAATTAGCAATCTGAGTTCAAGTTCTGTCTTAGTCTGTTGCATTCATTTAGCACTGACCCCTTGGTAAAGACATAAATGAATTTCTTCTTCTACCCCCTCTCCAGCTATGAGTTACATAGCAGGGTTAACTGAGCTTTTATAGCCCTTGGTGGTAACCAGTCTAGGAGAAGGACAATGAATTTAATACCATCGTGAAGGCAACAAGAAAATAATTCACTATCAATTCCAAGAATTCATAGTAGTTCCCAGATAATAAAGGAAAGGAATCTGTTGAGAATTGACCCTGAAAGTATATGGCATTAAAAAAATTTAAGTTCAGTGCACATTTAATAATGCTTTGAATTTAGTAGCATACAGAAGTATTGTCGGCTTGATTACTTTGTAGACTTCCCTTTTTTAAACATTTTTATTAATCAGGCATGCATGTATAGCCTACCTAAAGCTTTGTTAAATTTTGCTAGTTTCTTGTCTGTTAAAGAATATGATACATCACAGTTTAAGTATTTGTGAGAGGGGGAAGAATATTCTACTGAACACTTCTTAGTTAACATTAGTGAGTCAGGTTGGTTGAACTGACAATGAAATAGACTTGCATGAAAAGACAAATGGACTCCATATTAAATGCATAATGCAACATTTATATACAAACATTAGTTTGTTTTAAAGACGGTATTAAAAACTAAGTTGCCTATGTTGCCAAATATGTTAATACATACTAGGGATAATAAGCAAGGAGAAATGCTGACAAAGAAGCTGAAAAGCCTCTTACTTGAATGTCAGTATTTCACCAAAGATAGCCATGTAGAATGAGTATCTCTCAAGCTTTGTCTTTGGCTGGCTTTAATTTCCCACTCATACAGGTTTGTCTTGTAACACTTCATCTGTAAGGGTATATAATTATTTTTGTGTCCCTACAACAGATAGGTGAAATCCTAAACCTTTTCCTTTTAAGACAATGGATATAGAATATACAATGTACTCCTACACCTCAGTAGGATTATTGTAGGATACTTAATATATAACAAACATGAAAAATATGGATCAAAAAGCTATGTACTGAGAAATAATGATATTTTTCATCTGCTGTGAACCTGTATTTGAATGAATTCAATGCATAGAGAGTATCTTTTTTAATGCTTTTTATTTATATTTCATTTCCTCATGGAAAATTTTTACCCTATTTTTTTTTCCTCTTTATTTTGTAGGAAAACCGCTTCAGATTGGCCAACAATTACGTTGTTTGATTGTTTTAGCCCCAAGTGATAAACAAAAAAATAAAAATGAATCCAGAACAGTGAAAATCACCATTGACCCCCTTACGATTGATTCAACTGTGGTCAGTTTATTTTCATTTCATTCTATTTTCTCTAATGCCAAACTCTAGGTTATTTTAATAATACATATTTTCCTTAACCTCATTTTCTGTTTAGACACTTTAATTAGTTGTATAGAGTTTGACAGCTACATTCTGTATTAGATTGATGGATGTGTGTGTGGCGTAATAATAGTGGGTTGGAATGAAAAATAAGAGTGCTGAGTTCAAATTTACATTTACATTACATTTACTTTTGTGTATATAAGGTATGAATCCATCTCTTTGATCGCTGAAAGTATTACTGTGTAGTTAAATAAGTTAGTTCACTTAAAATTCAAAAAAATTATGTCACTTCTGTTCTTCCATCCAATAACTCCCTTTGACCTAAGCTGTCAATACATTGATGTAACTGTCAGTTAACACCTCAAAAACAAGTCACTATGTTTAAGACATGCTTTTTAATGGTATTCCACTGACACGAGAAAAATAAGATTTTTAATCAAAATTTTGAATGTTCTAAAATGGATGAAAAATTAAATAATCATAAAATACTTTGGTCTTTCCTCTTAATAATAACAAACATTTAGACAACAAATCATTTTTTTTCATCAAGTTTGAGGCCTTTTTTCATCATGGTATGATCTTTTTCAGCAAATTAGTGGAGATACCTACTTTTAACTCATAAAAATATTTTACGATAAAAATTTAATTTCTCAAAATTTCATGAAATTAAGCAAGTGGGGAGTAACATGTAAAAAAAAAATTTCATTCATTTGTGAATAGGTTCTGAAAGTTTCATTAAAATCCGACAATTATTTAATTTTTGTAAGAATTTCCAAAACAATGTGTTTAACTCCAAAAAAAGACTCAAAATTTCCTAATACTACTCTTTAGTAAACCTGCTGATGCAAAAAAAACAAACATTTTTAATCAAAATTTCGACCATGCTAGAAATGAAAAAATTTAATGACATAATCAAAAAATACTTTGGTCTTTCCTCTTAATAATAACAATCTGTTTTTTGCTCTCAACAAACCTGAAGTAACACACAATTAAAAATTAAATAACTCATTTAAAGTTAAATTTAAATATTGAACAGCGTGAAAGATTTAAAAAAAACAACTCTTTATTAAAGGTTTAACTTTTCACTTTTCATCACAAGTGCAATTGATATCATATAATTAAAATTTAAGTGGTGCATGGTAAGTTGCTTTTTTCTTTTTCTAGTACATGTACTGGGACGTATTTGAAATATTATATAGTTAAAGTTTCCTAATGTCTTTTAAGAGTGACTTTATGTGAAGTGATCATAAAGAATTGTGATTTTTAAAAGAAAATAAAAATTGCACACAAAATTAATATAAACAAACTATGGAGATCAGTTGTGTATATGGAGAAAGATTATACTGAATTAAGGGTATTGAATAAAGATAAAATAATTTTATTACTTCTAAATTCTTATAACTTTTATGTACTTAGGACGTTGAAGGTAAAAGGCTGAAGACCCTAAAGTCTGCATAAAGGGTGGCTTCTAGGCTAGTTTATGTATAATATTATTTAACATGCCCATTTTGAAAGTATGGGTGATCATACATGGCATTATCAGAAAATAAGAGCGATGACTATAGTAAATTTAAAGTCAACATTTCTAAAATTAGATTACGGAGAATATTTTCCAACATTTTTAAGATTGGTGAGTACTTAAAAATTATATAAAAGAAGCACTCACATCATTTTCTTAAATTATGTTTTAACAGATATAATCTCTATAGAACAACAATAAAGTTCTTAACACTCATAAATCATGTAAACATAGCTACTGTCAGTTAAAAACACAGCTACTGTTTGTTTTAGAAATGCATTTCTGTGTTATTTTAAACTTAAAGTAAGTATTTGTTTCAAATCAGATTAATTACACTTTAAATCAGCTAATATCCCTCAAATAAAACTTCAGAAGAGTATATTTTATTTTTGGAACATTTCTTAATACAGAGAATTACATTGCAATGAAAGATGACTAAAAAGGGTGTTAATCAGCTATTTAAAAAAAAAAAAAAAAAAAAAATTGGTTCCAATTAATATAATTTCTGTTTGAAACACACCAGATTATTTTGCTTACTAGAAAAAGTAAATTTAATCCTTTAGTTTTCAATGAAAGCTTCAAGAAAGCTTTTTCATTTTAAACCTTAGGTATCATGAATTAGTAGAGGTCCCTATATTAAAAGTTCAATGTGACAACACTTTCCCTTTATGTTTCTGTTTATGTCATGAAAATGTACAAACATGTGAATTGACGCCTAGACATTTGGCCAGATGTCATCAAATTTGTGAACTTAAAAACTAAAATACAGAAAAATGTCCCCCACCCCCAACCAAGTCCTTCTCTGATGCTGTCAAATGTGAATGACATTTTATTTCCAGTGAAACTACAGATTTTTGTGTCTATTTTGAAAGACATTGAACCATTTCTGATAAAATATCAGAGTGATAAATTGTTCCTTCCTTTTTTTGCAGATGATCTTCTTAGCATAAAACTGTTAAAATTTGTAAAGGAAGAACACACTAAAAAGATAATTACATTTTCCAAACTGAATGAATTTGTAAGAATTTTGTCAAACCCAAACATGCATAAAGATGCTGAAAAGATCAAATGAATTTCTGGCAGATAGGGCTATGCAAAATTTATCCCAAAAAGGAAATGAGTCAACAAAATATCTGTTTGCATGCAGAATTTCAACAAAGACAATGTTCATTTCTATCAATGAGAAACTTCTAGTTTCTCCTTAGATACCTTCTTGTAAGGTCATGTGCATAGCTGAACCCTGGATCCATTTGTGAAAAGAAAATCTGCCACAGAAGATGGTCCAAAAAGAGGTCTTTCCCACATGATGGACAGAAAGCAAGTCAGTAGGTCTGATTGTGATGACATCATCAGTCAGTACAAAGAGTTTGAAGTGGAGGCTGCTAGAAATACTACTTTCAAGAATTTATCAAGTATGAAGACTGTCTTGACACTTTGATTTTCTCTTTGTCTAGCAACAAGGAATATCAAAAACTGCAAAGTTGTTTGCAGATTGCTGATACTCTCTCATGGACAGGTCTCAGTTGATCGAGGTTTCTCGGTCAATAAGGAAATTTCTACTGACAATATGAAACAGCAGATTCTGGTTGCACAGCACATTATCACAGACATTTTGGCCACATTTGGAGGTGCTGTGAATGTTCCCATGACTAAGGCTCTTCTCTGCAGTGCTTCCAATGCCAGAACAGCATGCAACAAATACCTTGAGACTGAGAAGAAAAAAGGGCAGGAAGAAGTAGTTGAACAAAAATGGAAATCCATGCATATGGAAATTGAAGAACTGAAGACCAAAAAACACAAGCTTGAACGTTGCACACAAAATTTTCTCAAATCAGTTGACAGCTATGTGGAGAAAGCTGAACTGACTCTGAATTTCACATTTATTGCAGAATCCAATGCCATGTGAAGATCTGCAAAGGACAAATCAATCGAGATATCAAAATTGGAAAAAGAGCAGAATGCTAAACTAGATGAACTGAAAAAATGTTAACATCATTGTGCTCTGTGCAATGAAAATTGTATTCTTTTTGTGAAAATTTCTATTTGTAGTTCTGTCCATTAAAACCATTATACTTAACTTCACCATAAATGTGCAGCAATCAAGAATTTTTGTGACATTCACAAACTATGAGTCGTCTAGATAGCTAAAATGTGTAGCAGTAAGAATTAAAGTGTGTAATTCAAAATTTTCAAGTGGAGTAGAACTTCAAGCTATGTCAAATGCTATACAAAATGTATAACATAACCAGGTCTGCATTCAGTTGTGTTTTAGCCTTCAATACTGATTTCTTCACTGCTTTCAACTGATACATGTGACATGGATTATTGGAATCAGGTGTAGCTTCTTTTTAAACATCTCATCTGTTAAACTATTAAAAGATAAATCATAAAGTTTGTGTTTTTGAAATTGATGACCATTCACTGTGTTTGTGTGTGCACATGTCAGTTTCAGTCCTTGAAACTTCTTCACGTAGTCCTGGAATTTTTTTACACAGATCTGTGGGAACCCTGTGGTAAAATTAGCAAATCAAATGAAGTCAAGAGAGGGTTAAGGATTGATTATTTATAAAAGAAATATGGAATCATGGATTATGTAATAAACTGTTATATCTATGAGGGGTGATAAAAAGTTTTTGGCCTTTGGTTAAAATTTGGGAAGTGGGTCAAGCCATGAGCTTTTCATCAATTTCTGGGATTATTTAAGTATAAAAAATGTCTACATTTATTGATTAATTCTGACTATTCTTCAATCTTGTATTTTTTTAATTCTAATCTTCATCCAACTCTGGAATCATGTCTTGCTATTTGAACCAATGTTCTTACTTGATTGTTATACTCACAACATTTTGAATGTTGTACATTCTTACCTTCTTCAGGCATCTGTTGTATTCAGCAATCTTTTGGAATTTTGACCCAAATCCTTAGGGTTAGATTATTCACCAATCTTATTTACCTTTGAATCATTTGTTTGTTACTTCCATTGAACTAGAATATGTGGCTTTTCAGCACTACCAGACACAGGGATTGAACTCACAATTGCCAGGGAACCAAATATGTTTTAACCAATGGTTTGATCTATTAGGACAAGCATCTTTGGATATATGTCTTTTTAAAGAAAAGCTGGACAGTACAATGTCTTAAAAAGCATTCTAAATAAAACAATAAAAATGAGCAATGATGGTCTGAATAGAAAAGTATATAATAATGATCATTCCTAATATAAAAAAAAATCTGATATAAACTCTGAAGTTATAGTGTTTGCAGCATTTTCAGTATATCACTGTTTTTTTATTTATTTTTATTTTTTTGCCTTTCATAGATGAAGCCATCAATGAATTTATCATATACTTGTATTCAACCTGGTTTAAAAGCTGAAGTAAAAATTGTAAAGGTGAGTGCAATAAAATGCCTTTAGAAAAGATTATTAATATACTTCTGCTACTCACATGACATCAATTATAGAATGGTCTCCATTCTGTTTGTGTTTCTCATCTCTTCACATTTTTTGATGCCAACAAAAACTCTTATTTTGAACATTCTTTTTTACAAATTTGTATTTTGTAAGTTTTTGATTACACAAATCACAAAGACAGTTAAAAAATTGTTTTAATTGCATACATTTGTCTGTGTAAAATTTCAGAATATATCTGTGAAAAAGGACATTTATGAATAAAGACAAAAAAAAGAAAGAACCAAGAACATTAAAACAATGTGTATGAAAACAATCAAGGCTTTGTTTAGCTCCAAGTCAAAAAAAAAAACCCAAAAGGAATCAAAAAGACAACAACGTAAAGTGAGTCAACAAGACTAAGCTAACCAAACCTATTCTAAATTAATATAAGGCAAGGCAAATTGTTTAGGTTTCAAAAACGGATCTTCAAAATTAAAGGCATGACCCTGAAAAAATTAAAAAAATTGAAGTTTAGAATTTTCTCAATTTGAGTTAAAAATGCAGGATCTATAATTTAGGTTAGATAAATGAAAAAAACAGATAAAACAAGCATGTATCCATTTGCTGGTGTGCATATGTGGCTAAGCAAGAAAGGGATGGATTTTTATTACTTAAATATTATTTTTAGTGGGTATGCATATTTGAGTAGATGCACTGTTTATTTATTAAACAGTATATTTATATTTATCTATTGGCCTGAATATTTGAGAAATCATATTAGAGAAAAATATATATAAAAACAAACTCCAAAAAAATTAAAGAAGCCATGGGATATGTTCCTATTATATAGAAAGATAAAAAGAGAATGATGGTACCTAAACTATTACTTTTTTATACTGCTACCCATGACTTTTAGCACATCAGTGTATGGTAAGTTAATCAGGCATTATGTTATCTTAAATATATGGATATTTGCCTTCTCTTTATATATTACTTTCTATTATTTCTTTTTATTTAAATAATGATAACTAAACCAGTTTCACTGTTTTTTTTTAGACAAAAAACCTGAATAAATTTTAATCTTTCTTTGGTAGGGATTTTTATAATGTCCAGATAACAATAAAGAAAGAAAAAGGTTCTTTAGAAGTCTTTAAATAAAAAAAAAAATATTTTCAGGCTCTGAACAATTCTTTAAATGTAACGTTCCAGAATTATGAAGGAATAATTCCAAGTATCTATTGGGATTTAAACAAAAGAAATAAACAATTTTATTACAGTGGTAAGAAAACTTGACCCAAATTTTCATTTATAGTATATTTTGTTGCTTTTGTTTTTGTGATCCACACTTTCTGGAATTTATTTTTAATACCATATAGCCTATGTTATCATAATACAATGGAATGTTTATCGTGCATATATCAGTTCAATGGCATATGTGTATAGCATATTTGGTTATTAACAAATCCAAAGAAAAATAGGATCAATGTACAAGGTGAAAATTTTGTCTATTTCCATTGATTTTACTTTCAAACAAATTCTCTTTGTTAAATTTATAAATCAGAATTTCCCCTACAATTATGGGCTAATTTTAAACAGAATTCTTTTTCTAGCATTAATTGGTAACCAATGTAGGAGGACGACTCTGAATTTGAAACTGGTTGGGGGTTGAGCTAGCAACTTCACCACATGGAAAAAATCAACTTGTTACAGAAACCACAGTAGCAACACCTACTATGTGTATTAATAACTTGTTTTGAAGATGTACAAAGTTCAATATAAATTTTTATTTATATATAAATCTAAAAGATATTGGCCATGAAAAATATTGATTAACACAATATTTCTCATAGCTGAATAAATTACTATTATTTTATGTGTTAAGATGTGCTCCTTGATATTCTATAACCTTCATCAGTCTTTCAACCATTGATTTTTTTAAAAACTTTTTATTGCTTCTCAGAGATTTTGTTTGTATATTGTTTTTCATTCAGGTATAAATCTCTTTTGATGACGGAGCACAAGTTTTTTTGTTGGATTAATATCTGAAAAGGCAAATGTTCCTGAGTATTCCATAATCAGAATGGAATATGGGACAAGCTTTACCAGAATGCTCCTGTTAATACCATGACACCAGTCTGAATTAGCTTTCTCACAAATGACTCACCCCTTCTCTTGAACTTCTGACATAATTAATTGTCACCCAGAGAACTAGCAACATATGACATGTTCTTGATGAGTTATTTTTGTGGTTGTTTCAGGCTGACAGTGGGGTTTGGGTGTGGCAAAGATTCTATGATGCCATGAACCCCAACTTTCAATAAGCTGGTGTGCAGAGTGGTAGTGGTTGGTGGCCTGTCTGCTTTGTGTTCATTTGCACTCATTTATGGACTCCATGTACCCTAATAACAAGGAATTCTCCCAGCAAGATAATATTGTGTTGTCAGGCACAAGTAGCTCAGAATTGGTTTGCAGAGCATTCTCGGGATTTCCAACAAATTGTGTGACCATCACTTTTGTCTGGCCTGAACACAACTGAGCATTTGTGGGATGTGAAGGAAAGGTTTATTTAAACACATGATCCTGAAATATCATATATATATATATATATATATATAAGTAAAATGTTTGTGAGACCTCCAGAAATCTTCCACGCACATGTGAAAATAATTCCGCATGATGTTGTTGCACTACACTGGGCTAGAGGTTTGCTCCATGATAATAGGAACATATCACATGGATAGCTATTGAGAATGTATGGCTCAACATCTCTCTAGAGGTCTTCTGACTATTTATGGAATTGATACCACAGAGTTGTTGCATTTTGGCTAGATTTCTTTTTGTCTTGTCATTGTTTGAAATTCCTTTTTTAATTGTTCTATGATCACTGTTCAAATTAAAGTGCAATTTCCCACATTGTGTTTGCATCAGTCAATAAACTGGCAATACTTTGTTTCTTTCTTTTGTGCTTAGGTCTTTCTTACAATACATGAAGATCTTTATCTGAAATTAATAAATAAACATCAATAACTATACTATTAAATATCTATTATAATTGTGTTTATTTCATCCTCAATTTGCACAACCGTTACGCACTGCCAATACCTCACAAATAATGGACTATTCTGTTTTGATCATGTGAAAAACGGGAAAAAAGCTATCTTTTTTATTTGCTTCTTTTTTTTTTTTAATAATAAAAATACTAATAGTAATACTAGTGAATATATTTTGTCTCGTGTTGCTAGATTTTATTATTGTTAAATTTAATTGTTTATCCTTCTAATTATTTCTTTTCTCATTTCTTACTTTCAGATCCAGGCGACTGTTGTTTATGTTGATCACAAAGAGAAATTGCTGACCTTTTCATTATTGAATCATTATCACAATCCAATCTCAGATTTGTTTCCCAAATACAAAGAAGGCCAAAACAAGACAGGAATTGTTCAGTCAGTGAACAATAAAATTGGAATCTATTTGGGATTACCAAAAGGAATATTAGGAATAGCTGATGTATGTTTATTTAAATATTTGAATTTATTCTTAATATTCTAAGAGTTGTTCTGTCTGTTGAACTCATTCTTTGCATTGCCTTTGTTGTCATCATAATGTTTGGGATTCATCCATTACACAGTCTTTTTAGGGTATATACAATCTCTGTAAGGAAAGAGAACACTTCTTTTCCCCACATGAAGAAAAATGTGACAAACAGAAATAGCTAATATATTATCTGGCTCAGTTCATTCCCAGCAACATGGCTACACAGATAATACCATTCTCAATAACCTGTTAACATTAATGAATCCATATAATACATGAAGATGCTCTCTGATTTTTTTTTCCTTACTAAGTAAAGAAAACTACAACATGCTGGAATCTACACTGGCTTGAATTAAAGATCTGTCCAACAGGATAATGTCTGCTGCTTCCTTTAGTTTTCTCTCCTGGTGATGTCACTTATTATTCAGATTTCATCCCAGAGAGGATTGTATGAACCCTTTTGTCTCCAAACATGATTTGTTATACCAGTCATTTTTACCTCTCCTTTAAATAGTAATTTGCTAAGCATAGCTTGATGTGGCACAAGGTCACAAATATAGAGCACCAATGAGAATCAAATTCACTACTCAGTCATAATTGATTTAATGAGATAAGCTGGCTAATCCTTAAACTATGTTGAAGTGCCCAACAGTGATTCTCATAGAAATTTACTAAGCTCAGATTAGATGTGGCTGAAATTATAGAGCGTCCAGTGAGGATCGAGCTTACTAATCAGTTGTAATTGATCTAATGAGACATGACCTCTCCTTTGGGTATGTCTTTCTTATATTCCTAAAGTCTGATATTAAGGTACAGTTTTTTTTATTCTTTTATATTTTAAAAATTTCTTTCTCTTATCAAGAACAAACTTCAATAAGTTCATCACAATGACTGGTTTTATTATTGAAAACTACATTGATGTTGCGATATCCACAAATCTTATGGCTTTGTACAAATGCTCCTCTTACATAGGGTCTGCTTACACTAGCCACATAGTTTGTGTTTTTTACTTCATCTTTCTATTTCCCAGCTTAGAAATAAAGAATGGATAAGCGTTGCTTTGCAAAGTAATACTTTTATTTCTTTCTGCAATTTTCTGGTTTCACTGATGATGACCATTTCCAAATGTTGAAGTTTACAAACTAAACCTTTCTTAGCAGCACAAAGAACGGGTTTAGCAAGTCAAACAATGAATGATAATGACTTGTCAAAATTTTAAAATGACTCTTCATATTTTTTTTAAGTTTATTTCAGGAAAACAAAAATGGGGTGAATGGATGCTAGATAAAGAATGTATTTTTAAGTTAGGAAAATTATCTTTTTTTTTCTTTCTTTTTTTTTTCACCACTTGTGTAAAACAGAAAAATTATGTGTATTCATCTTTTTTCATTCTTGCTTTGATTTTGTTAATATATAAATGTGTTCTGTTTTAAAAATTGTAGAGAAAATGAAAAATTTTAACGTGGTTAGAGAATAGTCCAAATATTTGTATGGGTTAGTAAAATAATCATATAAGTGAATCAGTTCTCATACACTAAAATTATCAATATTCTATGGATCTTATGGATTATACAAATGAATATTATTATAAGTGAATTTCCAGTAATATGAAGTTTATCTTTTTTCCATTTATTTTCCTTTTTATTGTTAATTTCAGCTCAAGTAATGTACATTCAGTTGAAATATTTTCAGAGGTACAAAATGTTATTAGAGCAATAAAAGTAGACATATTAAAATGTATTTCATAACAAAAAAGAGGGATTGCAAAAATATATGTATTATTGTAAAATGATAGTACCTAAATATAGTAATGATTAGAAATTAAATCAAATTATTGGTCCTCTCTCATCAGAGCTAAAATTTAGGACAAAAAATGTGTGCAGTGGGTGTGTGTGTGTAGAATATACAACCTCAAGCTAATATATGCAACAAAAAAATTTTTTTATGTGTGTGTGTATATATATATATATATATCTTACTTATTATAAAACGCAGATTGTGTGTGTGTGTGTGTGTGTCTGTACGTTTATATTCTGTCGCCAGAATGAAAGGGGGACAACTCATATCGTGTTATACTTATTATAAAACCCAGGTTGTTTGCGTGTGTGTGTTCATTTATATATGGGATCAGATTTCCTACATTTTTCAACCGATTTCAACAAAACTTCACTTTTTCTTTTTGTCAGGTAGTGTTTCTTATTGTCTTGCACACTTTTTTCTTTATTTTTACATTCAGAATGCTTTAAAAATTCCATTTACAAGACAATTGTTTATAATAAAATTCTATTCAATCGATAGACTCATAACGATTGAAAACAATGTTTTTGTTTGAGTTTGGGTTTGACCAATTCGTAAAAAAAAAAATTAATTAAGACATGCGTGTCCATCAACCTTAAACAATAATCTTTGTCAATTTTATTTTTCAGTCTTTATGATGGTCGATACTTGATCTATCTCTTACTGTTACATCCCCAGGCAACGCCGGGCTCTACTGCTAGTATATATATATATATATAACATTAACTAGTTTAAAAGCTGCCCTATTGGGCAGCATTTAAGCTAGCTTCTGTGGAGGGCTCTTGATTGGGCCTTCATCACAATAGTTACAGAGGAGTAGATGCGATAGGCAACAATAAGCTACAGAGGAACACAAAATTGATAGCTACATTTATGTATTGCATTAATATTTAAGCTTACCTTTTAAAAGTTCAACAATAATTCTTCTGCCACCACTTAGAGACAGTTTGATGTATGTAGGTCCTTACTTTCTGTACAAGCAATTATTTTTATTTCACGGGTGACTTTCACTGGATTTTGCAGTTAATTTTGATTATTCCCATATTTATTTTCAAGTTATAAAACTTGTCATAAAAAATCATATAAAAACACTCATGGTAATGAAAACTTGGGAATTCAAAATTTCAGGATTTCGGGTCCAGATCCAGCTTGGAATATTTTTGATTTGCTCATGGCCTCTAGGAGTAAAATTGAAAAAGTGTGACACAATGACATGTTGACATTCGCATTTATTATATAGATGAGTAATTACCTTTATGCTCACCAATCACTCCTTTTCCTTACAGAGAGATGGCTGGTAGGTCTTAATGTACACTGCTCGTAAACTTTCAAGGTATAATCAGTATTAGCCTTACTCAGCACTGAGAACATGTCTGGCCTATAATAGTGAGCAAAGTGTTGGTTTTTAATCAAATGTTTAGCCATTGCTAAACCTGACACATTACTGCACCTGTGTAAATTGTCAAGCTTTCTTTGGCTGATATATGTTGGTTGATCCAGGCTTCCAACTTTTTATTCAGATGAAAATCTGATTCTTTTAGTTTATTTTTATTTTCTTTAAATAATTACACATCAAATATAATGAAAGATACTTTTTGTTTATAATTTTTTTAACCATAATATGAGAAACACTAATAGAATCTTTTCTTTCTCATTTTTGTGTTGATGATTATTTGAGAATAAAAAAAATAACAGATATAATAATAGCAATCTCTTGGAAAATTTTTCAACATTAAGTGAACAAAAATTTTATTTTTAATCACTTCTTTATTTCATAATAGAAGAAGAAATGTTATCCTTAAGGCATCTTTTTTTTATTTTATATCAAATAAATGTAAAAATTCTTGTAAAATAATTGATTCACATTTTTTTTTAGGATTTTATAATTTTCAAGTTAGATATTTTGAAATATTGCCAGGAATTTTTCAGGCTATTACAGTCATTCTTGGGATTTAGTTCAATTTGTTTATCTATCAATCGCTAGCATTTGTTTTTTAAACTTTTCAGTTGCAAGGTTTAAGTGGCAAAGGATCTTCATCCATGGAAGAAGCCTACACTACTGGATCTGAACACAAGTAAATTTGTTTCTTTAAATTTTTCTTGAAAATTATTTCTTTAGTAGCCTTTTTAATCACATAAGTGCTATATTGTTGCTCTAAGGATGATTATACCAACAACATGACTCCTGGTTATGAAGGAATGAGTAACAGTATATAAGACATTTCCTAATTGTATTCAATTTTATTGTTATTCAATTTTGGAACACAGGTAAACAAAAGCAATGAAAAATCATGGGTTATATGAATAAATTTAATGTTGGTCAACTTATAGAGCTATGCTACTAACAACAGAAGTTTTCAGAACACAGCATTGAAGCCAAACTAAATTTCTTCAATTCAAGTTCAAGGTGTTATTGAAATTAGTCAGTGGGTGGCAATGTTTAACATTGAAAGTCTAATCTTGGTGCTGGTATGTCTGAGATATCAAAGGAATTTAATTTATGATGGATTCTCTTTATAATAATTGACTTATTTGGATGAAATCCTTAGTTTTATTTGCACCTTCTAGCAGTTTGTAAAAGGGAATGTTTTATGATGGCTTCTACTTAGATCAAGGTAAAAAGCTGCTTTTGTAAAACAATATATACTGAAGTCAACAAGAGTACCAATCCACACTAAAATGAAGATATACCTTATTTACATTTTTTTCAATTGTTTTATATCATTTAGGTTTTGTAATGTGGATTCAAGAACTTTTGATTAAATTTGAAACATTCCAAAACTGATATGTATCATCACAAATCACAAAGTGTTAGACAAAGTGAAAATAATGACTCTTAGAAAATGTGACCAATTTGCTTTCACTCTTCAATAACATCTGTAGTAAATCTTTGAAACTGTTTGAACATATTAAAATATCTAGTGCATGGCTTATGTCTAAAGTGTATAGTGTTTAGGGAAAAAAATGGGTTTTGATTTTTTTTTTTTTTTTATGACTTATCAACCCTTTGTAGTTTATTTAAAGCCAGAAAATATTTTTAGATTGTAAGATTTATTTATTTATTTAGAGATAATGATTTACTGAAACAAGTCTTACTAATTAATTCATAGCTATGGGGAGAAAAGGTGGATTCATACTTGTCCCAAGAGTATTTGCACATAAGTGAATATAATGGATCTGACTGGAATTGGAACTCAGCCCTCTGATTTCCAATTCCAAACTGTTATCTATTACACCACCTGCGCACATCCATGCTTATAGCATCTGCTATTCCCAAGTGGTCAGCCATCTAGGTACTCACCAGGTTTAACATTGTTTAACTTCAGTAATTGTATGTGAACCAGTGTTACAATATGATATGGCCATAAGCCACCTAGAAAAAGTAGAGGCAAACTAAAAAAGAAGCTTAACAAAATTTTGTGGTCACCAACTAATGAATGGCAGACATCAAACAAGCTTTCACATGATTGCAATAAATGATGAGAAATAAATCTGGTAATGAGAGCTAATGATGATTCTACAAAATGCAAGGGCTGTCTGGAATATTTGTGCTGGTGTAAATTTTTCAACTTGTAACATAAGTGTGTTCATTCAAATAAACGTCTCACCACAATTTGTTTTATAAGTTTAATAAATGTGGGACAAAAATCATTGTACTACAGAGAAAAATGTCTGAGAAATAGTAAGCATGTTTTACCAAATAAGCACCTTGGGGAGGGGGGGTAGTGAAGGAAATAATTTTATTGTGTTAACACTTTTATTTGGTATGCAAGAGTATGTAATCTCTAACCATTTGTAAATAATTATTTATTTTAAAAGAAAACTTGCTCATCTTCATAGGCACTTATTACATCTTGATTATATTGCTCTGTTGTTGGGCAAAATTTAAAATATATAATTATTGTCTCTATTGACAATGCATGTTTAGGGGATGCAAAGTATGCAGTTATCAACATAATGAAAAAAATAAAATTGAACTCCATGTTTTAAGTTCTTCATATTTCTTCAGGTGCCGAGTGATCGGATTTCTGCCTGTAGAAAACTTGGTGCGGGTATCTGTCAAATCGTAAGTTGACTTTTTTTTTTACTGTCATTGTTATTTAAGAAAATCAGCTTTATATTGTAAAATTACTTTAATCTCACTTGATGATCTCAGTAAATTGTTACTGACTTCAGTCAAGACCATTAAGGCTACGAGTCTACTCTGCAGTTAAATGTGAACTCTACAATCCTTTCCATGGTTGTATATTATGTGTGTTGTCATGGCTACATAAGATTTTAAATTCAGAGTTGCTCTTCTGCTAGACTGGTTGCCAACCATGACTAGAGAGCCCAGTCTGTGAGTGGACGTTGGAAAGAGATATATTTGTGCAAAATGGAAGTTGGTGTAGAATATCAAAAACATTAAAAGAAGCAATTTTTTATTTAGACCAGTGTTTCTCAATCAGTGCACCTTGACATATTAATTCACTCTGAAAGGTAGCTAGGTGCACCCCAAGTTAACGGAAGAGTAATTTATGAATCATTTTTATATTTAAAAAAATTGATAATTTTAAAAAGCTAGAGACACAAAGTACATGGATTCAGTGTTTAAGTCAAGTCTTTGTAATTTGATATTTTAAACTGGATGCTAAACTGTTTAGGTGAAATTGAGAGAGAGCTTATATTGACTCCTACAGCTGAGTTAATTTTAATTTACAGGTGTGACTAGGCTCCTACTGCTAATTAGAATCTATTGAAACTTTTGGGAAACAGCCTATATCACCTAACCTTCAATTTTCTCATACTGTATTGTTAATGACGACTTTAAAACTGCGTCAAATCGAATTCAAACCTCAGTCTTTGTCCTTAGAAACACCCCAACTGTCATAAGTCAAACTACTGTCCAATGTGACCTATTATGACTCGACACCCATTTATTACTTTTTGCAAGCAAGCTTGTCAATCCAAAAAATCTCAGACATACTACCTGTTTTCAAATTTATACTTAAATCATTTGCTTGAGGGGCATAAAGATGTTTCAGTTGGGCCTTTTTGCCTATTTCCAACACTCATAATACACACTTGATAATTGTTTTTTTTTACTTTGTTATAATATGTAAGTCAGCTATCAACCAGAATTTGAACTCTGCTTGCTGATTTCTCATTCCTAGCCACTCACCATTACACCAACTGCACCTCCATGCATAAAAACATATATCTTTGAAAAATGAATATTAATTATTATCAGTTACTATTTTGTAGTTTGTTTTAAATTATTTTTTATTTGACTAATTACACTTTTTTTCCAGTATCCAGACTGACACACAATTTTTGACTATAACAGATGTGATTCCTGGTGATGTGGTCACAGTAAGTTATCTGAATTTTTACACACAACATTCAAGTTGTTTTTCTACTTTTCTTATTTCCCTGGGAACTGTATCATTACAATCAAATGCAAGTTAAATATCAGTGTTTTCCTATTAAAAGTTAAAATCATTTTAGGCTTGAGACATTCTTTTTTCAGCCTCAGCATATTGAATAATATAGATGCAAGATTGAAGTATCTCTATTGTCCATGTTTTAAATTACATTTTAAATATGTTTGTATTTTTATTGCAGAAGAATGTAGAGTGCATTTCTATTGTTTCAATGTTACAGGCTCTTCACATTATTTCTACTATTTCTCTTACATGCTCTTCACATTATTTCTACTATTTCTCTTACATGCTCTTCACATATGCCAACAAAACAGTTGGCATATGTGAAGAGCATGTAACATTTCTTTTTTAATAATGGTAGAGAAACAGGATTTAATAACGTAAATAATAACATCATACTCTGTTTCAAATTAGATCTCTTTCTGATTCACTACATTAAAACCTGTCAGCCAGGTGTGAATGCTAAGAAAGCACATCTAAAAATAGTCACTCTCTTCACAAGGGCTCTGAGCATCACATCCAACTCACAAAACAAATCCTCCCCGCCCCCCATATAAAATACAATTTAAAAGGAGCCAATTATGAATGTTGCCACTAAAGCAAAAGCATGACAAAAAACATTGTCATGTATCCACTCTATCTGAAGTCAGTTGGTAGGTGAGCAGGCAGGCTGTCGATGTCACCACCAGTAGCTATGGTCAACCGACCCAGAAAGAAATTTTTAAAATCTGTAATTTTGGGTGATTATTAGTTAAGAAAACGGCTTTTCCTGGAATCAATCATCTGACAAAGCTCACATCTGTCCTTGGCAGCAGGTAAGTACAGGTGTAAACATACAATAGAGATTCTTCTGAGCTTTTCAGTGACTGGACATCTGAAAGTCCACATTGCCTCTCTATTCTTATGTTTGTGTGCACTAAAAACTAGTAAATGCCAGCTGTAAGTTCACAAAAGGAGAAAATAAATGCTACAGTGAAAAATGAGGATTCCAACCCTGCTTCCAACATATTCTTCGTCCATCCCAGTACCCTAACATATGGCTGGCAGCTAAACTACTTAAGCAATGGTCAGTCCCCGTGAGCACCCAGTCCCGAACTCAAACCCCAACTGTGACCATTAAAATAGATCAGCAAATGGAAATTTTCAATGTCTGGTATATTGTCATATTACCCCAAAAGTTTTCATTTATTTACTCTTTTATTCTCTTTTGGTCAAGTGTGTGATCACTTTGAAGCACCACTTCACACACTTTATTGCTGGTCATAAAACACAAAATACTTGAAATCAAGATACAATCATACATCATCCCCTTCTACATGAACATCACAATCATAACATCACACTGGGCTTTTGATAGTTACACTCAATCTGATTGTGTTTTTAAAGTTAAATTTGTGTTTAGTATCCCAAGAATCTCAAATTCACCTTCACTTATCAAACCCAATAAATATTTTTTTATTAACTCTTTTTCTCTGTTGGATTTTGTTAGATTTGAAGAGTAATGAAACACTTATGCTTCTGTTTAGCTCTTTGCCACCAAATCAAACCTAATGATATCTAACTGCCAACAACCCACTTGCTCTTACAAATAAAGACACCAATTGGTAGCAACACTAGTGTGTCAAGTTTCTGGCTTTTAGGTCTATTAAAAAATTTAGGTGAGTTTAACTAGTTATGTAAATTAGATTCATATACTTAGGACCTGGGAGTTGATTTATATATATATATATATATATATATATATTTTTTTTTTTTTTTCATTTTCTTTCAATATTTTATATTTGATATATAAAACTAAATTCTATTTGTTTATATTTTTCTTTCTCTTGTTTTTTTGCAGTGTAAAGTAAAAAATATTATTGAAAAGGGAGTTTTAGTGTCCATCAATGAAAGATTGAAAGGACTTATTCCAAAATTTCATGTTGATGATGATATGACCAAATCGCCAGAGGAAATACTTGGAGAAGGCGATAACATTAAATGTCGAGTAAGTCACATGTTTAAAAAAAAAAAAGAAGAAACATCAGTTCAACTCTTAACAACTTTAAAGAAATTCATAAAGATAACACAATTGTTTTTTTTTTGTTTTTTTTTAAACACATATATCCAGTGTAAGAAGGTTCTAAAGTAGTGTCCAAATGGCAGACAGGGGTGAGCAATCTGTAATTCAACACAGCTCTGTACTCAAGCAAACATAATTGTGAATGATGAATATTTATCTTACAATATCCACACCAGGACACAGAGAATGGGATTACCCAAGTGGCAGAATAGAACATTCTAGCTTGCTACATATACCAGCTGTTCTAGCCTCTGGGTACCAGAGAGCTTACAATACAACTTACAATAATTTGTTTATTAAATATTCAGCTTATCACATGGAACTAGTTGACAAGATATTTTGTCAACATGGCGTCACATAGTGACAGGTCCTATAACTACTTATTCTTTGGTACCTAATAGGAGGATGGCAGTAGGTTGTTTGTTTATTTATTTCAAAGAAATCCCCATTCTTCAAGCTTATTAAGACCCCCACACCCATTTATTCATTTAACACTTTTTGAACCTTTTATATGATTTTTCCACATTTAGAAAAATTTTGATTCCAACACCCACCCCCAGGTGTATATTAGTCACCTAGGAATATGCTATCTTCAAAACCCTGCAATTTAATTTTATCACTTGAATAACAATTTCTATTTACACTATTTATATTTGGACTATTGTCCTTGTCTTTACAGAACAATAGCCTTGTGAATAAAACCGTTGGGTCATGAAATTGGTGACATTGCAATTGTGAGTTCAGTGTGTACTTGGACTCAGTGGAAATGGGTGAGCAATAACAGAGTGTTAATAAAAATAGGAACTAGACAAGATTTCCCTAGACCTGACAGTGAATTGAGAGCAGTTTACTTCCCATGGATTAAATAAAGGATTCAGTTCAGAATTCCCTGTAGGTTACCCAGATTGATATATACCAAATGAATGTCAGAGGAGACAACAATGAAAACATTGTGATAACAACAAAGATGATGACATTAGTCCAAATGTAAATAGTATAAATAATGATAACTTCTCATTCCAGAAATTCAGATATAAATTAGCAATCTCTAGTTGTAGGAGGCATGGTGGAGTAATGGATAGCAGCTTGGATTGAGGAATCGGAGAGCCGAGTTTGAAATTCCAGTTGAATCCATTACATTCACTTATGTGCTAATACCCTTGGGAAAGGTATGAATCTTCTTCCTCCCAGCTATGGGTAAATAGCAGGACAGACCGGGTTGCCTTGGATGGCAACTGGTCTACTGCAGAAAGAAATGGCAACCTACTGTGGGAGAAAAAAAAATCTACCTTGACAGTCATATATTGAAGGATACACGATTGCCTAAGTGTGTATCACACATGGCACTTGACTGACAGTTGTACATACTTTCACAAATTGGCAGTATTTAGACAAATTGCTTGTGATTTAGACAGCACTTTGTAAGGAACATCCTGGTATAAGTATATGCATGGTATTTTTATAGGTCATGCATATTTTTCTAAAGAAAACTTTAAGATTTTTTTAGTTCTGTTTTCCTTACTCTGGTAGCAAATTTGTTAGTGGTTCAAGATTATTCATGGATGGTAATAAAGGCAGTGAAAGCAATGATTATCTTAGAATGTGTGGAATTACCCCACATTGCTTGCCAGAAAAGGTACAAACCTTTTCTTTTTTCAACCACAGGATACCATTGGGACAAGACATGTTCCGTTTTTTCTCCAGGGAGGCATTTTTTACCCTCAGGTGTACCACATGTCACATACAATATACTACACTATCTCCTGTTCAGAAAAACCTCATGTGACCATAATATCTTCACAACAACCTATCACATAAATATATATCATCATTCAATGCAAGAAAATATCTTAGTTAACAAATGAAATGATACCATCACAAATTTAACTCCCATTAGGATTTTACCTTGTTTTATCTTGTTCTCACTTTCCTTGTATTATTAATTTGCATTAACATGATAAACCATTTTCATTTTTATGTTTTGCAAATGATGTAAATAAATTTTGAGTTAATTTATTTTAAGGTTATTAAAATTTTCAACTGAACATTGTCATGATTAGTAAATTATAAATGGAGATATTTTGTTTATAATAGTCACATGAAAATTAAAAATTACAAGATATATGGCAGTTTCTAGCCATTAAAATGGATTTTTTTCAGAGACTACCATTATAATTTTACTGTAGCTATTTATATTACTTGATGTCTAGTCTTGGCCTTGACTGGTATTACTTTTGTTAGTAGATGAGTTTGCTATATGAAGATTTTTTTTTTATTTCTCTGGAATATGACTTAAATTTATTTTTCTATTTCAGATTCTGAATATTGATTTAAAATCTTATCGGATCTTTCTAACCTGCAAAAAGTCCTTGGTGGAAAGTACATGTCCAATTGTCTTTCGATTTGATCAAATCAAGGAGGAAATGCTTCTGCAAGGTTATGTCAAATTCTTGAATGATGTTGGCATACAGATTGCATTTTATGGTGACCTAACTGTAAGTTTTTCTTTATTCATCTACTCTACTGTGTGTATATATAGATGTCTGTGTTCACATGTGTTTCCCAACTACATTATTGATAACCAAATAAGATTGTTCCTAGAGAAATTAAATGGCACCAACACAAAAAAAAAAACAAAACAATAATATCTTTAACTGCAACAAGATGCTCATCATCAAACAATATATTTCATCTGGTGAACCCAAGAAAACAAAACTTACAATATAGAAAATTAAAAACTGCCAACCTCATAATTACCAATGGCTGTTGAATTTAAACTTAAGACAATATAGTATGTAAATTTTGCTGCATCTCTTGTCAAAAACTGATTATCTACATTGGATATACATTGATGGCAATCAGTAGAAGGATAACAAACCACTTGTGATCTTAGTGCCATAAAAAAGCACCTAGATGCCCACAAACAACTGCCCATTAGAAAGATTATAGTTGATAACACCACCATTCTAAAGAAATCTAATTATCGACAACATCTTAAGATAATGGAGGCTTTTTATATAAAAATAATATAAAATAATTCAAACCAAGCTTCAACTGTATGCTATTTGACAATGGCGTTTTTTTTTAAATCAGTATTTCTACTTACATGAATTTTTACTACTTCTACACAATATGACTTAGACAAAGATATAGAAAAAATATTAACAATGAACCCCATTGAAAATGATTAATGAAATTAAGTGAATGTGTTTGGAACAATAATCATTGCGGACATTTTTTACACTGTCTTAGCCACCCCCCCCCCTCCCCAAGAAAAACCATGAGAGCATTAGAAAAACTTAATAAAATTGAAATAATATGTTCTGGGCATATGATGATCAGTTTATTGCTGCAAAAGTTTTGGTAATCCATGTGCTTGATACATTTTTAATAAGTTCCAGATAAATGCAATATTTACACTGTGTGTATATATACAGGGTGTGATGGACAAATTATCATTTAAATTATGCAAAAATGAAAATAACACTGACATCTCATTTTAATAGATATATTTACCTAAATAACACAAAAACATCTTGAAACACTAAAGAACGAATGTATTTATTAAAATTGCCATTGGCTTCAACCATGGCCGCCATATGACTTTGGAATCTGTAACTCTTCTGGATGGTCTCCTTGTTTAAGTTGGTGAATGCTACCATAGTCCTTGCCTTCAGTTCATCTTTGGTGTTACAAGGAGTTTTGATGGTCTCTTGATCAACTGTGATCCACATATCAAGGGGATTGCAGTCTGGGGAGTTAGGTGGACAGATGTAAGGAGTGATGTGGTCGCAGAAATTATCTAACAGCCATGACTGAGTTCTCTTGCTTGTGTGGTGTGGCATGGTGAAGAGTCCTGTTGTCAAACATAAGTTCTTCATGTCTAATTAAACAATTTGTTTCATGTTTTACTTGGGGAAAAATAAAAATGAATAACTATAACCACAGTAACTTTTTTGAGAAAGCTTATACATGATTACAAAAGGATTTTATTGAAAATAAATAGACACATGTCTAAATTGTTTAATCATACATACATACACACACACACACACACACACACACACACACACACACACACGTTGGCCATTGGCTCCTATAAGAAGCTCATCCATCCTTTGACAGGTCTTTTTTTAAATTCTGTAGAGTGACATACCACCCGTCTATATAATAAATATATATGGTGGACTCTCCCGTCGTATTCAACGTATGAGAGTCAAGCAGCTCAGTCCCTAGGAACCGACAGCCCAGACACCAGCACATATTTGATTATAGTGGTGAAGGCTTTGTGCAGAACCAACCACACTTTTTGAAGGGCTGAATAGAGAGACCTGGTGCACTACATGCCACAATGTCCCCAAACGGACCTCTGTTCTAAACCAGTTGCCATCCAAGGCTATAGAACCCAGTCTGTCCTGCTATTTACCCATAACTGGAGGGAGAAGAGGATTAATACCTTTCCCAAGGGTATTAGCACATAAGTGAATGTAATGAATTTGACTGGAATTCAAACTCAGCTCTCTGATCCCTCAATCCGAGCTGCTATCCACTACTCCACCATGCTTCCTAATTATATATATATGTATATATCCACATACAAAAAGCTATGTTACACAACAAACATTTTTCAGCATAGTCACATTCCTCACCAGTGTACTTAACCCACCATTTCTTCATAAATCATGCAGATTAACATTATACAATGAAAATTCCAAATCAAAATTCAGTTAATAGTTGTGTCAGGGTATAAACATTGATTCACCATTGCATATTCACCTTGTCTGCTCATATTTCCTTTCTTTTATCTTAATCGGGCTATTATTTTTTCTTATCTTTATAAAATCAGTTGTTAGATTTTAAAATTTTATTATGAAGATGCCCGTGTTCCTCTTATCATCATTTCTTCAGTTTCAAAGTATAATACAAGCATGAATAAAATAAATTAATATTGTTATTTAAAGCAGAAGATATTTGTACATTTTGAAGACAATTATCCATTTTATTTTTATTTTTCCTTGTAGGTTTGGCTGCCAAAAAAATGTTTGAACCTGCCACCAAATGCTTTGCCCTCAGCAGAATACAAAATTGGACAAGTGGTCAAATGTAAGGTCAGCAAACTCATTCCTGAAGAAGACAAATTTTTCATTGTCATACAGGTAACATATCTTTTTTTTTAATAATAATAAATTTACTTCTTGCTGTTCTCATTCTTGAAATTTTATTGATTTTGTCAGATAGATATAATGCATATAATATAATATATTTTTTATATATATGTATATATATTTTGGTATCACCCCAAGTGAGGCAGTACAGCCACTACTGCACAAGGTGTTACAGGTTATGAAGGAATTAGAAACAGAAATATTAGTAATGAGTAGAAAGTGAAAAGAGTAATCCAGAAAGTGAGTAAGCCAGAAAGTGAGTTCCACAAGTAAGAAGTGCGAGAAAAGAAGCTGTCAGCATAGAAGTTATGGCTACATTTTGCTAGGTCAATTGTAAATTGATGAGTGTATATATATAATATATATATATATATATGTATATATATATATATATATATATATATATAACACAAATATACTTTAACTTATTTGAACTATAATTCACATCTTTTCTTGGAAAGACACAGCATTTCATTCAAGTACTATCTGGTCATCTTCAGTTGTTCATTATTGGCTATAGGATAGAGTTTGTTGTGACTGTTGTGCTATTTTTGTCCCTGTGATGCTTGTTCTTGTTTGTTCCTGCTGAATCAGAGTCTATTGTTTCACTACTAGATCCAGGGATTGAACTCATAACAACAACGCATGACTCACCTATATTTATATCCACTATAGCAAAATCACAAAAGACAAAGGTTGTGTATTTTTAGAAAACAATATTTTTATTAATTATATAAATGTATTGAAATGATTAGTGGATTTTTAAAAAATTTCTACTTAAAACAATTGTCACGCATGCAACTATTTTTTTAGTACAACCAAAGAATATCAAATTAACTCTCAGTGGTTGGAAACCAATACTCTTTCTATTGCATTAAAATTTGCTGCCTCTTCCATTTCCATATGTCATAGTCCTGGGTATGACGATAAACTACATCCACGTCCTGGGCAAGATGATAAACTATGTCCAGCAGCAAGGCCTCTGATCAGGAGGTTTTGAGGAGTGTGGAACCACCTCTTAATTGCTGGTGTTCCCAGGTCCACCCTGACCCGGGGTGGTTGCACCTGTTAGGGTCCCAACCATGTGCAATTAGTTGACTCCACAACCTGACTCAAAAACACTATGAAAGTGTAAAAATAGATTTTAATACCAGAAATACTTTTACAAAACAATTAGTATCAGCAATAAATATTTGAAAAAAAGAAAATATTACCAGAAATAAAAATCTTGTCAGCATTAAATAACCCATTGAGGTTAATATGCCACAAAGCAAAACAAACCAAACTATACATTTTTTTTTTTTAAATATTACCAGCTATACGTTTCTGAAAAAATTACCAGCTATACATTTTTGAAAAAAAAAAGGAAATTTTGTTGGCATTAAATAATACATTGTTGTTGATATGCCGTAAAACAAAACAAACCAATCCATATATTTAGTTTTGTACTTGCATTATAATTCAGTGACTCTTTCCTGTTATTTAAACTTCTTAGTAATAAAAGAAAAAAAAAACTTATCTTGTCACTATGTTCAATCTCCAAAATTAAAGCTGACTCTAATAGAAATTCTGATGGGCTTGTTTTGTATTATGGTGAGGGAGAGTTACACACCTTTCTCATTTCAAATTGTTGATCTACTATTTTATTCTAAGTTATTTATAACGTAGTAAAAAGTTTAATGATCTTTGATCTGGGGAAAAAAAATGTTTTACCAACAAAAAATTAAAGCCAATAAATAGATTTAAAGAAAATTTAAAATACATTTTTAAGTAAACATATCTAGATTTATTATTGTTCTATTATATGTTATACCATTCCATGATATGTAACAAGATTCATGTGAGGACATCTGTTAAACAATTGAAGGCTTTGACATGTGGGTGGCTTAACAATTAATAGTGCTGAAAATGGAATTAGCAAACCAAGTTCTAACTCTGGATGTGACAAGTTGGTTTATTTCACACTGATTTTAATTTTTGTTGGTAAAAGTTTAATTTATTCCAAAATCAGCCATGATTTTTCATCTTATTATGTAATATTAGTCCTCCTATATGGCAGTGAATGCTGGACAATCTCCTCATAGAGGAAGAAGGGACTTGAAGCAACATAAATGTGGTTCTACAGAAGGATACTGAGAATGCCATGGGCCAAACGTGAGCCGCAACAAAGAAAATAGAAACAAAAAGGAAACTTATACTTAACCTCAGGAAGAGACAGTTGAAATCTCTAGGAAACATAATGAGGAAAGTAGGCTTGGAAAACCTGATACTCACGGGACATATTAAAAGCAAGAGAGACAGGAAAATAATGCATAAACTACCTAGTGAGTTTGAGTAAATCGATGACAGAATAAGGTTTAAAGGAGATAAAAAACTAAATTTATTAAAAACTACAAAGCACATGAAATTGTAGAGAGCCATGGTTGCCAATGTTCATAATTTTTCTAATATTATTTCTTTATCAGATATTTTTAAGTTACATTTCATTTTTAAGATGAGTAATTACCAATATACTTTATTTTGAACTATTGTTCTAATCTTGTATAGATGTTATTGTAGACAGTGTTTCAGCCAAGTACTCTCTGGCCATCATCAGATCTCCATTGTTTGGTTAATATGGTATATTTTGTACAGATTCATCATGATAACCAACTATTGAAACCCTCTGACATTGAACATAAAGGATCTAAATATATGCTACTGATGTCCTTCAGGACAGTGGTATAGTGGATATAAGAGTTGGTTAAACATGTATTACCATCAACTAGTAGTTGTGAGTTTAATCCTTTAAGGCTGTTAAACACTGGTTCTACAGGAGCAAACAATAACTGGCAAACAATAACTGGCATCTCAAAACACAAAAAAAAAAACAGATATCTCCTATCAATAAACACCTGAAGATGGCTAGACAGTACTTTGTTGAAATGTGTCCACAATAACATCTATCATAATCAAAATGAGAACAATAGTATGAAATAATTATTTTAAGTTAGAATATAACATTTGTGCTATTTGATAATTTTTTTTATTCCATCCTATTTGTTTTTGCATTTTGCCAAAATACCTTCATCTTTTTTGTTTTGTTGTTCAAATTTCTGAGATGAGAAATTATTTTTCAGGATAATACCAAAAATCAAAAATTACCTGTTGATGAGGTTCCTGCTCCTGAGGTTCAAGAGGTAAGAACTTGCAGGTTATTAGTTTCTGGCAGCATCTTTTTTCACAATGTTTTAGAAATCTTGGAAATGTCATTGAAATTTGCTTTACTCTTAACTGCTTCTACAATCAACTCTGTTATACCATTTACAAGCCATAGATTCCAAAAAAATGAGTTTCATATGAACCTATAGAGAGGAATATTAATTAGCATTTAAATGTTTATTTTCTTTGTTCAAGACAATTTTTAACAAGATAATTACTATTAAGGAAAAATGTATATTGATATGTTGAAAGCTGTCCTGGAGCTAATCTTGATTTTCTGTTCTAAAATCTTTTAATAAATCTATTTTTTTTTCTTGTCTGTAACTATCTTATCCAAAAATGAATTTTTTTCTGTATTGAACAAGAAAATAAGTGCTTGATTTTTCTTTCCATAAGTTCACATGGAACATATTTTCTTAAATTCTGAATGAGTTTCTGCACAACCAAACAATATACCAGTTTACCTTTTGTTGGATTGCATCTATAATAAATGGTCATTTGTGCAGCCTTTACAACTCACAAATTGGCAGATTGTTTAATTCATCTTGTGTCCGTAGATTTGTGGCATGACATAAAGGATTCTTATTCTGGGGCCTTGTACAGGGTGAATGTCATTGCCTTTCTTATTTACAATGATATTCACCCTATACAAGGGCCAAGAGTAAGAGGGACAGTTTATTGGGATATGTTTTTTTTTTTGTTTTTTTGTTTTTTTTTTTTATCAATTCACCCCAAGTCAGGTGATAATGCTACTAAGATACAAATGTAAGAGTGAAATAAAAAAGACTTTAGAAGGAACTGGAAACCCAATCTTAAATGGGAAGCAAGAGATAAACCCCTACTCCTGCTCAAAAGTCAGGGAAGAGGGTGAATCAGACAATTGACGAACATATCTACTACTATCATTGAAGAAACACAAATGTGCTGTCTGCAACAGGGATTAAAAAGCCACCCTAGTAGACTCCATAGTTATACTGCCAACACTTGTCAACCTGAGGTGTGGTTTTCGGGCACTTCAATAATACTGCAATATTAAATTATAGGGATGTCTTATATGCTGTTAAATGTTAGAAATAATTTTAAAATTATTTGTTGCTTTCAGAAAAGTATCAAAACCACTCAAAAAGTACCTGTTGTTGTTGATATTCCTGCCCCTGAAGTTGGAGAGGTAAGAAGTTTGTATGTTAGTTCCCAGTAACATACATTTTATAATATTAGAGAAATCTTATTTTATTGCTTCAGCAATCAGAAAGCTGGTTTGCCATTTATAAGTTGCAGGAAATTTGTTTTTTTTTTTTGTTTTGTTTTTTTTGTTTTGTTTTTTTTGTACTTCACACAATGCAAATGCTGTACTGCACAACAATTCTGGATTACCTTATTAATGGAAAATTTCTTTCATTTGCCTATTTTCCAAACCCATTACCTTCAGATTATCACTTGTTTTGCTGCATACAACATAGTCTGTTCAGTGAATTGAATATGTTTAAGATATCACATAATTCCTCAAACAATCTAACCAAAATTGAGCATTACAAAGGCTAACTGGTCTACTCAAAAAAAAATAATAAAAAATTTAAGGCCAAATCATTTTTGTTGATTAGCATAGATCAGGAGGCAGAAATGCATTTGACTGAAAGATTCACTGGCAGTGTCTATAAGAAAGCTTTAATTATAATTCATGATGTAGCTGGATAGCTTATTACCTGGCCATAGACTGGTATTTGATCAATACCAGCTGGGTCAACTGGATGAAGGGGCATGATGTTGAGAGACCTCATACCCCTAATGATCTCAGGATTACATCCCTGATAATGTGACCAGGCATATCATTTGATGTATTTCCTAGATATTGTAATTATGATTTTTAAATTAATTTTTTTTTCTGCAAATTTATGATTTTATTTCTCAGTCCAGGGTAAGGGTTGTCCAGACTTGAGTGGGAGGAGAATGTATTATTCCAATATCCTACTCAGTCAAATTATGTGTTTGCTTGTGTGTACATTAAATGGCACAAGTACGTTATGCACAGCACAGTCATACACATATGCATTACATATGCTCATGGAAAGTCACACACTCTTCTTTTATAATCACTAAAACTAGTATTGACTAATAATAACTTACATTTTATTTTTTTATTTGTATTTTATTTCAATTTATTCAAATTGTCAGTCTACATCAATGAATAGAAAGTGTAGAAATAAAATAAAACAGCCACATAAGCTCTTTAATTAAAAAAAACCTCATTGAACATACCACCAGCTCTTACCAAGCTACAAGAAGATCAACTCTAACTTAGACTAATCGTTCGCAATCACTCTTGATGCCGTATAATTCCTTTACAACTTTTTCTACTTCAAATGGTTTACAAAAATAATCTTCCTTGCTGCACTTATGATTTTTTTCAGAGAGTGGGAAAACATTTAGATTATAACTGAAAAAAATGCATATGTAGCACACATTTGAAGATGACTGAAATGTGTTTAAAACAACAAATATAAAGACATTAGTCTGAATTATTTGTAGTATAATATGCCATGGTTTGTTCTCCTTTTTTTAAAAAAAATATTTGACTTGCCCTTTTCAGTAAGACCTCAGTCCTAGTACATTACCACCAAGCTGAATGTCAACAATCTCTCTGATATAATTTTTTTTTTTTTAAATACAAGGTTAGATCAATAAGTTGATAACCTAATACAGTTATTAGATGAATTTTGTTAACAAATACTAAGTTAAACACAGTACACAAATATTACACTAGGCACAAAAGCTAATCTCTATATAAATCATTTTTTATGGCTATCAAGTTAGTGTAGTTCAGAATTCCACATATGGAAATTGTCTAAGAAACATTGTCATCTCATACAAATATGTATGCTTCATAATGGAAACACAGTATTGTAAACTGTTCTTTGAAATTCTTCAAGTAGTAGTTGAGAAATTAACTTTTATTTCTGTCAAAAGAATTTACTTTCTTTAGCTTTTAGCACTTTGCATCATTTATAAATATTATTTCCCCTTTTACTGTATATGGAACACCCTCAAAAATATAGTGTTTTATATATTAGTTCTATGTATTTGAAATTTCAGTAGCCTGGCTCTCAATTTCAGTCAAGATTGTTTTAGGTGTTGCCATGTGACTACACAACCAAATAATTCAAGTTCAATTTGCATTGGCAGAACTAACATTTTGCTTGATGAAAATAGTCACCTACAGAGTGCTGAAGGTTATATTTGACAAATATTTTTTTTGGTTAGATTGTTTTATTTATTTACTTTTATTTTTATTTATTTACTTTAATTTTTATTTTATTTTTTTTTGTTTTGTTAGCTGACCAAATGTATCATCCACAAGAAGACAGCAAAAAGTTTCAGTGTTTATCTGATTCCAAGCAAAAAATCTGCCCTGATTCCCAAGATGCACTTGTCTGATTCAATGGAAATGTGTGAAATGATGTGGAATAATTACCAAACCAATCATATTCTGGATGTGATAATCTTTGAAAAGACCCACAACTTTATTGTATCCTTTATAAAATATAAATTTGAATATTTTTCCATTTCTCACATAAAGTAATCTTCTTAAGCTGAACATATCCAATATGGATATATTGAAATAAATATATGCAGGGTGCGATGGGTAAATTGTCACCATTTTATATTTTTAATTTCACACATGCACATTTGTTTTTAATTTTGTTGACTGCACAGTATAGTAGGGTCAGTTTGACACCATCTGTGAGAAAAAGAACACCATGACTCAATTCACTCTGTCAGAAATTTGGAAACACCATGCTGTACTGCTTGGCATTTGCACTGGAAGCTCCAATATGAACATTTCAGAGTGTTTGAGTGTCAATCTGAGGACAGTGCAGTGGATTCAGTAGTAGTTGGGGGTGTTTAATGGTGATTATGAAAGTATGGCAACTTGGAAAACTGAAATTGTTGGTGAATGTCTCAGACTCAACACGGAGGACTACATCAAGTGCCTTGAAGAGGTAGTGCTACACTGGGTCAACGGTGGCTGCTGGAAGGCCCTATGTCTGGCAACAGGTCTCTGCACCATGCCACATAAGCAAAGGGGACACAGTCATGGCTGTCAGACTATTTCTGCAACCACAACACTCCTTACATCCGGCCACCTAACTCCCCAAACTGCAACCACCCTTGATTTTTATGTGTGGGGCACAGTTGATCAAGAGACCAACAAAAATACTTGTAACACCAAAGATGAACTGAAGGCAAGGATTATGGTAGCATTTACCAACTTAAACAAGGAGACCATCCAGAATAGTTACCGGAGAACCAAAGTCGTTTGGATGCTGGTGTTGAAGCCAGTGGCGATTTTATTGAATAAATTTGCACTTTAGTATTTCAAGATATTTTTGTGTAATTGTGGTAAATATATCTGCTAAAATAAGGTGTCAGTGTTATTTTCATTTTTGCATAATTTAGACGACAATCTATCCATCGAGCCCTGTGTGCACACACACACACACACACACATATATATATACACACACACAAATTGATGATTATTTGATTCTGGTTGTTTGTTTAGTCTTTTTTTTTTTTTTTTTTTTGAGAATGAAAAATGTAGATTAGATAATACCAGTTCATTTAAGTATTTTTGTCTGACAACGATAATTTTATTTAGAATTGTTATATTTATATGAACATTAACATTGGATAACAATTAAATTGGATAAAAACAAAAATATACCTTTTATATCCCAGGCTGTTGGGATGAACAAAAGCGAATGAAAATAAGACAAGTGTGTTTTAACACCTTATAAAACAACTTTTATTCATTTACTGTCTGAGAACAGCAAGTATTTGTTTGGATTGAAACCATTAATCCCACATATGTGTCAGCTTGTCACCATGTTTAATTCAGAAGTGCCGCACTCGTATTCCAGACAAGGAAAGTAACTCAGTTTTATTTTGAGTTATCATCCTTTAAGAGCAAGGAAATTTAGCTTCCATTAACAATACCTCTTTTTCTTTAATGCCCTTATAAAGCATGAAAAATCTAGAAAATTATGGATCTTATCACTATGTAATCTATGTAGAATTTTTACAAGTCAGATTTTTCATATCTGGGTTGGATCTTCTCAGGCCTCAATTTCCAGAGTTAGCAGAGTTCAAAATTGTTTACATGGTTTGTCGGGTGGATGGGGGATTTTCTCCACTCTGCAAAGGATTTCCCACAGATGCAATGTCGACAAGCATATCTCTACTCAGTTGCTATTTCTATGCCAAATGTTTACACAAGATCCATTCTTTAGTTCTGACCTTTACAGCTAAGACATATCATGCTACTTCCAATCATCTGCATTTCCTTTGTTTTTCAAAACTAAGAAGAAAGTTCCTCTCAGACAAATTTTTCTCAAGAACTACTACAGACTGCTGCATGGTTGTTTCCTTGAGTATTCCGGTCTTAACCTCTTAAAGCCAGGGGTCAATTATTATCTTACCTTCTTGTCCTCATAATCTTCACTTCCTACCACTTTCTCTTCCATTCATATATGTCTCATTCATTATTACCATTTTAACAGTAACTCTACTCTTTCATTGAGTGAAATTTATTAAGAAAAAATGCATGCAAATATTATCATATCTCTTTATAAAATATATTCAACTATTCTTGTATCACTTCATAAAATAAAGTGAAAGATTAGTTGAATACTGTAAAACACTTCTCTGTTTTGTGTTCTAAACAATAGAAAATGCATTAAATTTAATTAGTTAATTCAATGTCCCTTATCCTCATTGTTAAACTTATATTAATATGATCCCTAAATTATAATACAACCAATTGTGTTTTTTTGTTTTAGTTTTATTTCCAATTTTATTGAATCTTTAACTTTCAAAGGTTGCCAGCTGTAAAACATCACTTATGAAAGCTACAAAGGATAAAAATTTTGTCAGTTCAGTTCAAGATATAGAGGTAAATAAAAATTTTCATGTTTTTTTTTGTGTCTGTTTTTAGCATTTCACTTTCAATTTTTATTTTTTTGTATTTTTTTGTCTGTTACTAAACTCTTTTCAATATTCTCATTACTTACATTTATTCTTCATTAATAAAATATAAAAGTAGTTACTCCAAACCTCCCTAGTTTACACTGTTAATATATGTCAAAATAGTGAAATTTCCTTCCATTTCAACTTCTGATATTTCTTTTATATTCAAGCCTATTTTGATAAAATTAGTATGTAAACAAAATTTAATGTTTTCTCTTTATAAAGATACAATTCTTTCTCATGTGTGATTAGTTTTTATTCCACATCTCTTTAAATTAAGTTACTATTTCAACAGCTGCTGCTGACAATTTCATAGTGGTGTTTTTCAAACTTGTTGCACTTGGAGTTGTTTCCTTACACATATCAAAATAGTCCCATCTTAAAGAAAAAAAAGGATACTTGTCTATTTGGTAGGCTTAAGATAGGGTTTGAAGTTGTCTTTCACAAAAATTTTCCCAATTGAAAATTTTAGTGAATGGAATACCAGAGAAATTCAATATTTAAAAAAAAGAAAATTGCACCTTCTAGAGCAATGGATTTAATAATCAGTTGATTTCATATCTCTGTACCCATAAAACTTGATGCTCACACAAATCAAAAAAGATTATACTATGTTTATTTTGTGCAAAACATCCATTGTATCAATATTTGTATTGCTGACTGACTGACAAATATCGCCAACAGAATCTTATTTTTAAATAGATTTGTTTCATCAATAGATATTACAGTTTAAATCTTTTTTTATATTAATGATGCATTTTAAAACTGATTAAAGTATTTATTGTATTTTATTGAAACTGTCGCAGTCACATCACTTTTGCCTCAGCTGTTCTTATGCATTTTCTTAAAAAAAAAGCATTAAATATATTTTCAGTTTTTTAAATTTTGCATTCTCACTTTTGTTTGTAAAAAGAAAAATTAAATAAATAATTTTTTTTAAAAGTTCCCAGCTTAATCTTTTTGATGGTCATTTATTTCATTTACATTTGTGGCTGTCAATATTTCCCCTAATTCTTGGGATTTTGGAATTACATTGAAAATTTATTATTTACATTTTCTTTTAAAAAAATTGTAACTGGATACATTTTTATAAAAAGTAAAACAAAAATAAACTGGATATATGTTTTAGCTTAACTTTGGCACATGGGTCCATAAAAAACTGAAATGTAATCAGTTTCCTTTCTTTCTTCTTTTTTTTTAATGATTATTTGTTTACAAATTCTAGATATTAGTCTTATTTCAGAGGTTAAGATGAAATCATTGCATTAAAAAAGAAAATGGATGCATCTTATATTTCTTCAGCTTATGCAAACATGCATTGTTTTTTTTTTTGTTGTTTTTTCTTAAGCTAGGTGCTGGTACTATGTCATTCTGTATGTTCTTAAGTGCAGTGAGACTTTCTTCTGGTTTCTTGTTTTTAAATGCAATGTTGATTGACATTGTATTTAAATTTCATCTTCTGCTTTCTTTCATAATTCCATGCATCTTTGTAGCTTTATTGCCTTGCTTGGAAGTAAAATGATTAAAAAAAAAAAATAATAATTATTACCTACCACATGACTAGGATATTGGCATCTAAACCTGTTCTTCCCTCACCAGGCTTTTCTGTTGAGGAGAGACACACAGCAGGGTTAAAAACCAGACCTATCAATGTACATATGAATCATCTCATGGGATTAATGGCCATCTAGCACACAGTATAGTAATATATGTATTTTTGAATATACACACACGATAACCATCAGTAAATAGGGCCTTGTGTCCCCCCCCCCACACACACACACACACACATATACACACACTTACATTGTGGAGTATCTTATAGCTGCACTATTCATTAGATATACCCCATAAATTACTGACCCAGTGTTACATGGGTAAACCATGGGTGGTTTGTGTCTAGTAGTTGTAGTTGGGAACAGGCAATGTCCAAAATGACTGGATCTCCAGTAGTTCACTGCAACTCCTGCCAGATAAAGATTGTCTTGAGCTTCTTAATAACAGCGGAAGAATCTCTGGTGGAGCAAAGATGGTGGAAGTGAGGACTACTCCTCTACACACCCACCTTACTTCCTGCTTTTGTGCAAGTTTCTAACATCATCATTGGTCACAACAGACAGCTAAACACACATGCAGATGCAAACGCACGTTTGTCTTTGTAACACATCTTCATTATCAGAGGAATTAACCGCATAGAGATATGTGCAAATTACATTTCTCCATCTTGTGAATGATTCTGATAACAGAAAAAAAAACATAATAGAATATTGATGTTGAATAGAATATCTTGAATATAAACCAGAAAATGCAGAATAGTATAAAGTTGTTTTTTGTAAATACAATGCAATTAAAAAATTAAATATCTCCATCATTATTGACCTTATGGCTAAATTACTAAATAGAATAATATAAGTTTAATTATAGAAAATAAATATTTCTTTAAACTTGTTTGCTGATTTTACTAAATAGCACATTTGTACATAAGTAAGTTCCTGTCCTGGTATGCATGGCATGTTTGCAACCATTTTAAACAGACATTATTCATGCGAAAAGTTTACAATGATCAAATTCTGTAGATAATCTAAGATTTTATTAACTATGAGAGACAGGTTATGACAAAAATTATCTTGAAAAGAATTTCAAGTTTACATTTGCACAAGAATTTTGTGGGTATATAAGTTACAGAAAAAAATTGAACAGCATAGGATTTTTTATACTCATTGATTGTTGGCAATTTGTAATTTCTTTTAATATTGCCATTTAAATGTTCTGTATTGATCTTCCAATTTTATTTGTAGTTTGCTATGGATTGTCTGTATCTGAAAAGATTTCTTTTCTTTACACATTGTAAATTTTATTTCTTTTATTTTACTTCATTTTTTTTTTAAAGTTGGATGAAAGTTACATTTTCACCCATGTTTACATCTCCACACAATTCCCAGAAATATTCTCAGTGGATTTCAATGGTATTTTGATAAAGAGTGGGCCACTGGCCAAGGAACAATTGATTATCGTTTGGGATGATGAATTTTTACAAAATTTTTCAGTTCAGTAATAGTTCATTCATACCGAGCATCCTAAAAATGGAACGGTTAATAGTTTATAGGTAAAAACCTATAATTTATACCAAATGACTTAAAACCCTATAATTAATCCTGGATTTTACAGTGGTATTAATGGTTTAAGACAAAAATGTATGGAAAAATCGGAACAGTTACCTCCCCAACATCATATCTAGCGATGGACTTGTGTCCTTTTTTTTTTTTTTTTTAGTGAACTGAGAAGATTTATTTTGGAAAAAATAATGACTCAATACACGGTATTACACTTTATAGTTTGGTTCTTTTATATACAATCTTCTGTTTCAGGGAAATGCTGCATTGGATTTAATGCTGAGATGTTATCCAAAAATTAAGCAGCATCTTACACCAATTCTGAGTTTCTAAAATGAATAGAAATTCTAATAAATGAAAATGTAAAACCCAATTCATCATTCAAATTCTACAAAGGTTGATCAATAAATCTGCAGCTTGAACTTTGATTTGATATTTTCCCTGTACAACGTTTGATCATGTAATTAATGGAGAAACATTAGATTAAGTTCACTGATAAGAAGATTATTTTTGAATAAATATTTGTTGTATAACTGCTTCTTATTAAGCTACAGATTTATTGATGTACCTTCTACATTTTCTCAAATCTCTTCAGATATAAGAGTTAAGATTTGGCAGATCAAATTGAGGCTTTTTTTGTCTCAAATCATTTCAGATATAAGAGGTTTTTAAATTTTTTCTCTAATCTCGAAAAAATGTAAGTGATTGTTATATTTGTCTCTAATATTAATCAATTATTAATGTTTTTTTTTTTTTTACTAGTATTTCTCTTATCGCAATTATCAGATCATGTTATGATTATAGAAGTTGTGATATAATGAAATATAAGAAGTACTAATCCTCAAATGAATAATTCATAATGCTTTATCTAAGAAATTAAATAAATATTAGCCACGTCATTCATACTGAAAAATATAATTCTCAGTTCTTGTTAATATTTTTCTCTTTAGGTTGGACAAGTTCTGGTTGGTGTTGTACAAAATGTTTTAGATTATGGTATCTTTGTAGAGTTTCCTGGACACACCATGGGTTTAGCCAGAAATAAGGTAAATTAAAAGTTATATATTGTATGAGGTGTGTGTGGGAGAGTATGATATATATATATATAAACTCTGTTGGATTAATAATGGATAATTGAATGACAAAATATAAAAATATCCTATGTGATGTGTTTTGTCCTTCAAAAGCACAATTGAAAGCAACAATAAAAAAAAAAAAATCAGGAAGAAAATGAATAAGGTCAGTTAGCTTGTACATTTAGACATATCAGATGCTAGAAATTTAAAGTTAAGCATCCTTGCATCTTCAACATTTCTCTTGATGTATAATTAACCTGTGTTGTATTTCATTCCCTGTGCATGAGTAATATATATACACACACACACATACACACACACATATATATTATTTAAAGAAAAACAGACTAAGGCTCCATCTGTTATAATTTATTTCACCAGAGAATTTTATTTTTCTCTGGATCTTCAGGCTTCACTTTTTTAGGTGAAACGAAAAAAAAATATATATATGTATATAATTGGATAAAGAACATCTAACGTATTTCACTTTATTAAAGCTTCATCAGAGATCAAGATATAAATGATAAAAAGCAAAGAGATGCAGATTAATGGTATGCTGTGTTTGGCTATATCTTATTGGTTAGATACATGTCACGTGTAATGAAGTAACAGATAATATTTAAATAAGTGTGGCAAACATTCTCGATGCTAAAGTGTGTATGCAGTACAATGTTTTGATTAGATACATGTCACGTGTAATGAAGTAACAGGTAATATTCAAGTAAGTGTAAGAACATTCAGATTTGGTGAAGTAGACATAGTTACTTTGAACAAAATCTTATTTTTAAGAATTTTCAAAAAAATCTTTTATACTACCAAACCTTAAAGAGGCCGAATAGGTAAAGTTAAAAGAAATTTTTTTTATGGAACTTTAATATATGATGCTAATTATATTAAAAGGGTGGTAAAACAAGGCAATATTAAAGTTGAAAAAAAATTTTTAAAAAGTTGTGTGGACCATTATATACTAATAAAATAATGGCTATGTAATTGTAATGCATAAATTATTTATGAAAAATTTGTTTAATTATATTTTAATGTAAAATTTATACAATGCCTGCATAATAACATTAATTCATTTCTTTGGTTTAGTAGAAGTTTATTTTTAGGAAACTTTATAATATGCAGCTTTTCTTGTAAATGCAGGGGGGGCATGGGTCATATAAGGATTTACAGATTCTCATTTTTTTTAATATTTTCCATTTTACTGTAGGAGTTTTATTAATTTCTTTTAAATATCAAAAATATTTAGAAAGGGATTTTCAGTTACAGTATGTATTTTTGTTGAAAGAAGATATGTGCTGATACCACCTCTGTTTAAAGGAATTTATTTCTTTATACTGCCAATATAAAATTTCTTAACTGTTGGATTTTCACTTGATGAAATGGTACATTGGTAACCAATAGAATCAGTAAGACACCTATTTTGTAATGGACATTTGTTAGGATTTCTACAATTATATATATACACTGAGGCTGAGGTCAACACCACCAAATGGCAACATTCTTTCATAAGAACACAGGCTAGCATGAAACAGACTGTCACCATTTGGTGTTGACCTCACTGTCCACTTTTATATTTACATATGCTCTGATATTAAGCACTTTACTGATAAATATAGCATACCTTAAAACTATACTTTTCTCACATCATAGTTATTTTTATTAATAAAAGCAGTTTAAATTCAGATTTCCACTTGATAAATTTTGGGTTTAAGATTTTATTTATAGTTTACTTAGAAAACATTTCCTTTTTATTGACTGTGTTTAATTCTTTGAACAGTTGTTGACTTTTGAAAAAAAATTATTTATTTTCTTTCACAGTTCATTACTGCAGAAGATTATATCGTAACTGATTATTGGTTCAAGTCAGGTATGACAGTGCGAGCCAAAGTAATTGAAGTTAAGGAGAACAAAGAAAAATTTTGTGTCACCTTGATAATGAGTGATGTAGGAATTGATCCTACTTATGGCCTAAAGTTACTACAAACAGCTTTTAAAGAGAAGGAAGAAATTACAAAGGTTTTAAAACACATTAAAGGTTTGTATAATGCTTTTAAAAAGAGATCCCAAAGTTTTCTATTAAATTTTTATTGTAATTATGAACTAGCATCTACAGTATAATATGTACTTATTACTAAATCTATTTCAGTTAACTGATAAAAATAGATGCAACAATGAGTATAATACAAATGTTTATGAAGTTTTAGAATTAAAAGTTTTAATAGTCTATTCTATTAAAAACATCAAAGTGTTGCTATTACTGTGTCAGATGTACTGACAATTTAAATGTTGAAGCTGTTGAAATTTTCTCCTTTAGGACAAGAATGGTTATTGAACAATATTACTGTGGGAACCATATGTTTTATCAAAATAACAGCAGTTGATAAAAATGGTGCACACTGTCAACTTGAGAATGGAGTAAAAGGTTTCATAACAAAGCATCATACTAGAGGTATGGACAAATTTTAATCATAAAAAGATTAATCAAGTTATGCTTTTGTTGTCTCCAGAAAGAAGCATTGGTATTCTTTTTGTTTATATTCTTTGCCTTTTTTTTTTCTCTAAACGTTTTATCTTGAATGCGTTCCTTTTGAATTCACTACAAATTCATCTCTTGTGTTTTTAGAGCATTTTCTTTATCGAAGATTCTTATATTTTGTCTTATTATATAAAAGAAATTGTGCTAATGTTTAACCTTTGTGCCTGAAAAAAAAAACAGTATGTCCAAACGACGGCTATTCCCTTGACACCACTATTACTGTATACAATTTTCATTCCCTCAGTAATTTTTATTGTTTTAAAAAGCAATGATTAGAATTTTAATAAAAACCCAACATGAAAGTAGTTTTAAACATTTTTTATTCTTAAGAATTAACAACAAAAATATTAAATTATTAGATTGAATAAAATAAAACTTCTTTTCATAATTATTTATGAAATGATAAATAGTAAATATTGATTTGTAATTGCTTTACATATTTTGATAATTTTATAAATTTTTTAATAGAATAATTTTTTTTTTCAAAATTATTTCTTTATAAAATGGTAAATAACACATTTTTATAAAAGAGAAACAATAAGTATCACATTGTATTTGGTTCACATATTTTTATAATCTTGTAAATAAACATTACTGAGGTAGTCAAAAATGTATACAAGAATAGCAGTGTTTTTTTGACAAAGGGATTTTTGCAGGCTTGAAGGTTAAACATTGTCAAAATTGTTCCTTTACATTAAACCTGGGAAATTAATTACTTTTACTATCAAATATATATGACGCTACAATTTTAAAAATCCTTCTACTTATATATGCTTTATTTCTTTCATACAAGTATTTTCTTCAAAATTTCCTTTATAAAATATTATTCATAAATAGCAATTTTTTTTTATGGCCATTAAAATTTATTTTATCAAAGAACAAAAGAGAGGAAGAAAAGGTTATAACTAGTGTAAAAAGCAGATTGAAAAAAATGACTTGTTTTAATTCCTCATCTTTTAATGGACATAATAAAATTTTGTACCCTTAAGAAAATCATTAGATAGTTAAATGTATTAGAAACTGTTTTTTATGGTAAAGAATTATGTCAATGTTTGACTAATATGCAATTCTTCTGGTTTACATGTAAGAAGATTTAACTTAATATATGCAAATTTTAATTATTGGTTTCAAGTAAAACTGAAAGAAGAAAAAAAAATGTCCTTTTTACTTTTTTAGGTCATGATCTCAAGAAAGGTTTAAGATCAAATGCTATAGTTATTGATGTTGACCCTGCTTCTAACTCTGTAGAACTCTGCATATCACCTCAAATCATTCTGGATGCAAAAGAATTAGCTTTAAATTCTATACCGGTGAGTTTAACAATATTTCTTCTTATAGCATATACATTTTTAATACATTTTTTGTCTTTTTATTTTTAATTCAAGTTTTTCACAGCTTATCCACTTCATTTATTGAAGAAATAAATTATTTTACATTAATAAATGAATGACAAAGAACCATAAATGTAAAGAGCTCTTCTGAATTTTCTTTTTTTTTTTTTTTTTTTTTTTTTTTGGTTTTAAGATCTTTGACTCAAATATAACTTAACACAAAAAAAGATTTCTGTTTTTCTGATTTAACACAAAAATGAATAGTTTTTGATTTCTACTTACGTTTTTACTGTCTATTAAGCTGAAGAAAAAGGTTTGAATACTTTATTGATTATAATAACATTACTAAAACTCAATCTATTGTAATTTGATTTGAATTTCATGAGATAAAAATAATGTGTGTGATTTGCATTCAACATATATTGATTTCTCTCTTTGGTGATTACTGTACTTTGAAATAAACAAACATTGATGTTCAGATTGTCAGGTAAAATAAATTAAATTCACATTTTGATCTTTATAATAATAAGATAGAAAACTTGATTACAAACAAGGATTTTGTAGCAACTAGCTTATATTTACAGTCATTTCATTATTATTTGGTTTTTCATGTCAATAAGTGTGTGTAATAATATTGAAATTATGTACTTGTAATTATTATTATAATGAAATAATATTAATTATTTTAATGTGTTATGACCTTGTCATCAACTTGTTATGGGATGTGAACTAATCCTAATGGCAGTCTTAACTCAAATAAAGTGTCACCGTTGTATTATGTGAAAATGACTCCTTGTAGTTGAATAATGTTGTTTATAAATTGTGTGTGATTAACATGATTAGTAATTTTTATTATAAAATATTTTACATCGCTACACAAAAATTTCTATGTTTTGGAACTTAAAAATTGTTCCATCATCAGGCAATGTTGGGTAACTTATGATGAAAATGATTTACTCGTGAAATCAGAAAACAATTCGGTAGCTTATTTGAGTTAAAAAGGAGGTGGGGGACAAAATTCCAAAATTTTGTGGGTATGTCTTGGTTAACTAATCAAAATACAGATCAAAGCTAAAATAGAAAAGTGAAAAATTAGGTTAGAATTTAGGGGTAGGTGGGTTATTGATTCATGTCTAGATGAACTGACACTTTTAAGGCATGTCAGCACATATGACATTATAAAGTGTTGATAATCTGTAAAAAACAAATCAGTCTTATTGTTATTTTTCATAAATTTGTATAAGACTAAATTTTGTCCAGGTGTTCTCACCTTATACCACTAGCCTACCTAGCTAAACCAACCTTTACTACTAACATAATGAATTTATTATCAGCTTTTACATATATATTACTAACAAATGGTATTTTAAACATATCTAATTTGCATAAAAAAATTTAAAGTATATTTTAATAATTATTTTACTTGTGTTATTTATTTTCAATTTAAATTGTAAAAATTGCTATATATAAGTAAAGCTTCTGTCAATAAATCTTTTAAAGTTTTGTGTTTTTATAGAAAGAATTTATATCTACCTTGTCAAAATTCATTTGTGAGTTAGAAAACCTACTGCATTTGTAATAAGCGTTGATATTTCACATTACTAAAAATTAGTCAGATGGGTCCACAAAATATATTCTTGCAATTATCTAAATAAGTCAACATAATCTGTTTAATTAGATTTTCTTAAAACTGTATGAAATAAACAAGTGAAAAAAAAAGAAAAGTTTTCTGAATTTATTATTGTTGTTGTTTTTATTATAAGCATTCAAAATTCATTCAAATTTTTCTTTTATGTAGCTATATCCAGTGTAGTAAAGTACTTTATAAGGGAAAAAACCAATAATCATTCTTTGTTTCTGTAGCAAGAAAAATATCAGCAGTCTGACACATTGTGAATGACATTCATTTATTAAAAATGGAATAAATATATTGATCCTTCTATGCCTCTGCTAATGAATAACTCCTAATTGACTAAAAATATCTGTCAAAAGTAATCTTACAAATATTTTTCAACCCATCAGTATATTTATTTTACATTGTTGCTTTTTATAAAAGAATACCTCTCACATAATGCTAAGACAGCTAGATGGAGATACCATTGCTGCTAATGTCTTATCATTACGTAAGGGGTAATTCAGCCACTCCTTGTATTAAACAATGTACAACAGTGAAATAATAAAACAAGTATTTCTGAAATTATCAAATTTATAAAAATATTTAGTAGAAATTTCAATAAAAAAAATTTTTTTATTGTGAATCATGACACTAAACATAAAGCTAAAAACAAGGTTGCATAAAAAAGAACAATTTTTTTGGAATTATCTGTAAAATTAAGAAATAAAAAAGACAAACTCAGAGCTTGGTTTTACAAGTTAAGGAAATCATGAAAAAATTTGGTATATAAATTTTAAATATTTTGATAAGATATTTAATATTTTGGAAGGGAAAATAGTTTTCTTTTTTTTTTCCATATTTTATTAGATAAGTACAGGAAGGTTTTGTGAAATCCAATATTTAATTTTGTCATTTTGATACCAATATTGTTCTTTAGTTTCTTTTTATTTCAAATGTCTCCTTTTCCTCCACAGGAGTCAATCATAATAGACATTAGTTATCTATTCATTTGTATAAACATTTCATTTGCTTTAAACAATTATATTGAGTTACTTTAGATGCTTAAAGCATTTTTAATTCATGTAACTCCTTTTGTTTTTCATTAAGTTTTAACTTGGTATTTCTTCTTTTTTTCCCTACCTAGGTGCCAAAAAACACTCAGATGGAAAGTATTGTATTATTAATTAAAGCAGATTTAGTTTTGGTGATGTTGACTACAAAAGTAAAAGGACAACTAGCTTATCTCTGTCCTAAAATAGTAAGTAATTGAAAATGTTCTTTTGTTGTTTATTTTTCTCTTGTGTTATTACATTTAAAAAAAAAATTGGTTAATATGGATACGGGTACTTTGGTTGGTCTACAGCTATGCAACAAGAATTAATGTACTGTGTGTTGTGACACATTCCTTCCTTCAAGTAACTCTTTTATTGGCTTGTACTTAGCAAGAAAGTTCATTTCTTTTGGTGCCCAATATCTTCTCTGCAGTTGGTAATTTTTTTTTCTTTTTTGAAATGCTGCTGATAGGTACTCATTACAACTGAACATTGGCATCTCACAAACCATAATGCTTTGAAAATGTGACCTAGTCTATTGGTTACAGTAATTTGGCTTTTATGAAAGTCATTTGAATTTTTTCTTGCTCGTAACTGCAGCATTTCATACATCAAAAAGGTTGGTTTATCTGTTTCTTTACCTCTGACCTTAGCAAGTGCAGCGGTTGAGAGGCAATGTTGGAATGGAATGTCCTTATCACCTGTGTGGACTCACTGTATCAGTAGCTATATATGGTGAGCACAGGATATACTTGGGGGCCTCCTTCGGAAATTACTAGCCTGCCACCTGATTCCCTGTCTTTCAGTAGTGTATTCTCTTTTACAATAAACCTCTCTTTCATCTACGCATGTGTTGCTGTTCCTTCACTCGAGTACCACCTTAATCTGTTTGTAACCTCTAAGGATACAACAGACAATAACAATCATTGTTGGCACATTTTCCTGGTTATAATGTTTAGGTTCATATTCATAAATACATCAACACAGAAGAATTAACTGGTGTGAGATATTCTCTACCATGGACATCAAAATAAGAACCATCTGCCTCCATTTATTGAATAAAGATAATAATTGATGATGATTATATTTTTTTTTTCATGAGCCTATTCAATAATTTAGTATTCAGATTATTTATTTTTTGTCTTTTCAAAATTTTGTACTCTGTTAAATATTTTGCAAGAAATGATATTTAATATTTTATATATAAGCAAAAGCTTTCATTAAAAATGTAACCCTGTCCCCCACATTAGTCTTTAGGTTCCTTCAGACCACTGTGGTTACCATCTAGCTGACTCTTCACTCATTAATGTGTTGTATGTTTTTTTTCACTGGTATCATGTTGATGAGCTTGGTTCCACTCAATCTAGCTGGTGTTTGTCTGCTTCACAATCCTTTATTCCACTGCCGCATTATGTTTTTGATCTCAGAGGGTGAGAAAATTGCTGATGAAGTAAACTAAAGGTTGACAATGAGGAGCTACACCAAAAAACTTCTTTGGAATACAGTATTAACTCTAGTTAAAAATGTAACAACGGTTTGTTGTATACAGCAGTTTTAACCCTTTCCACTTACTGTTATAGTCAAATGACACTAGGACCCCCTTTTGGAGTTAACAGCCTGTGTTAGTAGTAATTTAAATTTCTAAGTTCTGGTCTTCAGGGCCAGCACAGGGTCTTGGTCAGGAGGTCTCAGCAAATGCAGTGGATTCCAGTAGCAGTAATGTGGGGACTCTTCAAGTTGTCCAAACCTCCAGCTTATATGGAGTCCTGTGTCTGGCATGGGTAGGGTTAACCAAAGTCTGGGGTTTGGTTATCTTCTACTCTTAGCATCAACCTTTTCCTAAAATTCCATATTTTCAAAATATGTATACTCTAGTAATTTTCCAAAGTTAGGGGTTGTCCAACCCCTTTTTGAGAGTGGTCAGAGGAATCAAGCCATTGCTTAACTCCAACTCCTTTCACATCTCATTTCACACCATTGCTCCATATAGGCAGTGCTAATCTCTCTCTCTCTACCTTCTCCCATTTTCTCAGCACTCAACCTCAGCTCACTCCAAGGGCTGTGTCACAAAAACATAAATCAGTTATTTAATTTAAAAGTATTTATCAATATTTAGATTACAGTAAGTCCATGGGTTATAACAGTCCTGAACTACGGCTACTCATGATTATGACACAATCTCTGTTGATCTTGTTTCTTGGTTGTACGCTATTGTTATGCATTTGCGCTCTTTCATTTGTGTTGTGTTTGTGGAAACTTATAGCCCTTCTCTCAAGCATAGTGTAACCTCTTCTGATGGTAGTGCTTCAAAGAAAAGGAAAGCCATCACCATGGAAGTTATGGAAGTGAAATTAGACATTGTTAAACACTCTGAAAAGGGGGAAATAGTGACAAACATTGGCCAGTTGCATGGCTTAAGTTGTTTGACTGTCACAACTAATATTATGCTAACATATGTCATAGAAATGTGGTTGTTATGTCCTAGATTATTATTTTTCCTATTGTGTTAGTATAGGTAAGTGACGTAAGTGCTTGTTCACTGAAAATCAAGTCTATGTTCTTACTTACATGGAAAATCACATTACAATGCATCGTAGGAATGGAAGTGTGTTGTAAGTTGAAGACACCCTGTATTTACACTTGAACTAATGTTCTCATCTTTGTTATTACTGTTATAATAATACTAGGCTGTTTTTCCCAACACAACACACTAGCAAAGTATTGATTCATGAGTTTGGTATCATGGTAATTATGAGTTCATTCCCTGGGCCAAGTAGAGTAAACTCAGACTCAATGGAAATAGGGCAACCAACAACTAAGTAATACATAATAAAAAAAAAAAAAGATATGAGATCCCTAGACTTGAACAGCAGAATGAGAACAATCTACCTTGTAGATTAAATAAAGTGTTCAGTTTGAAATCCCCTGATGGTTACCTCGATCAACCGGTATTTGAAGAAGGCTAGGAGACACAACAGTTAAAATAGTGTAATAATAACAAAGATGAGGATATTAGTTTAGTAAACAATAACTCCTTATCCCAGAATTTCCAACAGAAATGATTTATCAAATTTTAAGGATGAAACGGTCTGCTTATTTTTTACTTGAGAATTTGTATGTCTATAACACTTTATTTTATCTTTTCTGTTATGAGCATTTGCTGTGGAACAAGAATTAGCAAACTAGTCTTGTACACTATTACTCATAGTGAGTGCTTCACCAAAGTGGCCCGGTGCCTGACTAAGGCAAATTTAGTAATACTCTATCATCAAGGCTTATGCCCACATCACATTGAAAGAGGTTCCTGTATGATCACCAAAGTTAAGCAATGTTGAGCCTGATTAGTACTTAAATGGGTGACCACTTGTGAATACCAGGTGCTGTAAGCTTGGATATGTAAGTAGTTTAGTCAATAATGACTTGGAATTATTAATCGGAGAGCAGAGTTCCAATTCCTGTTGGATTTGTTATATTTACTTATGTGCAAATACCCTTGGGAAAATCCGCCTCTTCTCGTACCAGCTATGGGTTAATTATTGAGACTTGTATCACTAAATCATTATCTCCCTCCCCACCCAAAAAATTCTTGCAATCTTAAAATATTTTCTGGCTTTAAATAACCTGCAAAAGGTTGATAAGCCATAGGAAACGAATCAATGAATCTATCATTAAATGTAAATTAAAAATAAGATCATGAAATAGTTACAATTAGTTGTTTCTATGTTTATTTCATTTTTATCAGATAATCTGATGGTTTCTTAAACTGTTGGTTCATTATTTTCTTTCAGCATGAAAATGATGTGACAAGTTGTGAGCGATTCTATGTTAATGAAAAACTTAAAGTTGAATATGTCAAGTAAGTAAAAAGCAAATCTTTTATTCTTTAAAATTGAGTTTACTGCCTTAGTTTCTAAATATTTTTTTTAGTAAACCAACACAACATGAAAACATGAAAGATAATGTTCTAACAAATACTAACAAGTGGTTGTTTTGCAGGGAGAGGAGGTGAACTTAGCGCCGGAAGCCAGACTCTGATAGACTTCAAATTATCTTAAGGAACAACTTCTGTGAAGAACATTTGCTATAGATAGGACTAAAAGGGTCTAAAAACCTAATTTGTAATACTCCCTCACTCAAATCCCATGTGAACTCCTGTGAACTATTGAACTGCAGCCTCAACATACTAGGTGTTCTGGCTGTTGCTTTCATAATACGGTTTTTTATGGGATGGAGTTGCTAACTTCCATGTCAGACTAGTTTTGAATCCAGAGTTGTCCTTCTTCTTGACAGGTTTTCAACCAAGGCTGAAGAGCCCAGTCTTCCCTACTATTTAACTCATAGCTGAAGGGAGAAGAAATGGATTCATACTTTTTATAAGGATATTTATATGAAAGTGAATGTAATGAACCTGACCAGAATTCAAACTGAGCTGCTAACCATTGTATTGCCTGCATATCCATTTCATCCTTTATAAAAAATGGAATGATATTAATCTATGAACATAAAGACTGAAATGCCTAAAAACCTCAATGCTTTATTTTATGTAAGTGTGGAATTCACTGTGCCACAAAGATTTTGTTACTTGGGCAAAAAATGTGCTTTAGATAAAAACAAGTGGGCCAATTCAGAATCTGTGTTTAGAATAGTCCAAGTGCCTCATGTTGTTGAGATATATGTATAGTATTAAAGGTAAATGTTGATATAAATACATAAATGTTCAAAGTAAATGTATTAATGGTATTGTGGAATTTAAAGGGTAGTGTGTTTGTGGTTTATAAGGTGGGGGTGTTACAATTACATGTTACAATTAAAGAAGTAGTATACAAAAGCTTTGGTTTCTACTACAGATCATTCATTCTCATTCTTTATATAAACTTTAATGAAACAAAGTTTTTATTATCTCTTGGGTATGTCCATTTTATTTTTGGTCCAGGAGTTAGGGTAAGTAAGTATAAGCATTGTATTAATGGTTGAGCTCAAGTCAGCTTTGTGCAGTGTTGGAACGACGAAAAGAAAGTTTGTACTTCCTTTATCATTGGAAGGCTTAAACATGTTTATGGGATGTCTGTTTTTTCTTGATCCAGAACATAGGGTCAGTAAGTATGAGCATTGTTACCATGATTGTGCTAAAGTTTGCCTTGTGCTGAGTTTGAACTACCAAAGAGAAAGTTTGACTTACTTCATAGGTGGAGGTTTTTGGAAGGCACATATGCATAGCCTGCATTGGAAAGTGGGAAGAGAGTTTAGTCATCAGTGGATCAGGGGAAAATAATGTTTCTCAGTGGGAACATAATTACCATTGGATTCTAAACCTTCGAAAACAAGAGGGAGAAAAAGAGTGAAGCAGGAAAATGTTTGTCTTTTTATAGCTTAACCTGTGCCATTTAATATCATTTGACAAAACCAAATGGGGTAATCATATTTCCAGTTCCTTTACTCTTAACATCATGGGAAAATGTATTTCTTTTTATTATTATTATTATTATTATTATATTATTTATTGAATTTAGTTCATTTTCCTACATTATCCATTAATGGTATCTTAATGTTCAAAGAAAAATATATTGATGCTACATTAGTATCCACTTGAGCTAATGACATGGCATTCAGAAATTGAAAACTAAACTGATTTAATAAAAAGCACATTAACAATGTGTCAAAAAAATTAGATGTTGGATATCTCTTAAAAGATACTTCTTGCATTATCACCAATTTTTTCTCATGTCATTAGTGATAGAACTGAGGTATCAACTCTAGTTCAATCCAGTTATGATGGATGATTACTGCTGGTTTTTACAATGGGAGACAAGCATAACTATTTCTCAAGATAGATATAATAAAGTATTTATTTGGTTATTCTCATAGTGATTTAAATTTTCCTTGAATATAAATGAACTATTTAATAATGCTATTTGCCCTGAACATAAATATGCTATATACAGTACTAATATAGTATTAATATAATACCTTGAGCATAAATATATTATGTGTAGATCTCAAAATGCTGAAGTGTTAGTACAATTCAGCGTACTAATTTAGAATCAGCATGTTCATTTTAATCTGGTTTGTCAATAGTTGTCTGGGTAGCAAAAATGAATATGTTGAATGCTATATTTGTAATTTGTTTTTAAAACATATCAGAGTTTCATCAAACCAAATTATCAATTTTTCCAATGATAATTATTACATCAATAAATAATATTTTAAGAATTAGTGTCTCTATTAAATATAATTAAAACCATCTATGACTTTTAAGCAGATTTAATTGTTTTTTTTTTTACTAATGTTCACCCAATACAAGGCCCAAGTGCCACTCAAGGTAGAATATTACTTTGTGGAGTTGTATTGGTGTAATAAAGGGCATGATAACAGGAAAGACAGCTAATTCTAGACTTCAAGCAGTAAAGATTTAATTAATGAATAAAATTTCAGAGTTCAAGCAGAGACGTTAAGCATATAGAGTTGAAGTAGACTTTAGGAGGAACTGAAAACCCAATCCTAAACAGGAAACAAGAGATAAACCTCTAATCCTGTTTAAAAGACCAGGGTAGAGCATGTACCAGATGATAGGCAAACCTATCTAGTATTAATATAAGTGTATAATCAAACACTTCATACAATTATCTTTCTTATTCAGAAGAGCAATCAAATTAACTATGTCCAAATTTTTTAGCTGAAACATTGCCATTGTCATTCTTTGACTAGTGTTTTTTTTTTTTGTTTCATTCTTATTTTCTGTTACTTTTTCTTTTTCAACTCCTGCTAGAATATAGATTTTTTTTAACTTTTGTATCATGTTGCTTATTTAATGAATGTAGAAAGAAAAACTAATCAATATCATAATAATAATATCTTTGTTATAAATCTTTTAATCTTCAGCATACTGATTCTTCTCTTCTAACTAACCATGGATGCTTTTCTCCTGGTTTTTAATTTTAAACATGGATTATCTCTTCTTCCTTTTCTTATATTTATTGTTTTGATTTTTATCAGTTGAAAAAATGTTAATTTCTTTTCTCAATCAGCTTTTCATCTTTTTATTTTTGTTTCTCTTATCAGAAACATTGGTGACAAAGTTGTGGTGCAACTTCATCCCTCTGATGTAAAAGCTTCCCAAATGAAAGGCCTTGGCACAAAGAAACCTAAAAACACAACAAAGTAAATTGAATATTTATGTTTATTATATTTTTTTATTGTTTAAATGCATTAGAATTATTTATAAGATGATTATCTAAATGTTTATTGATTCTATTATCAATTTAAAAAGCAAAAACAGTTACTATTTTTACTGAAATCTTGTTTTAACAGAAAGGTTTTACAACTTTCAACTAAATATTACCATTACCAATAAGAACAGATGACACATTTTTGATCCCAGTCCAATGGCCAGAAAGGGAAGAAAGCTTAACCCAGTTAGTGCTGGGTTATGTAACTGATGTAATCACAATTATCCTATATGGCAGTGAATGCTGGACCATCTCCACACAGATGGGGAATAGATGAGGCAACAAATAAGTGATTCTACAGAAGGATGCTGAGAATATCATGGACTGAACATGATTAACAAAAAAGTTTTAAAAATATAGAAACAAAAAGGATGCTTATATTTAGAATCAGGAAGGGACAGTTGAAATTTCTAGTGCACATCATAAGGAAAGAAGGCTTGGAGAATTCCAAACTTAGTGCATAATGGAGGCAAGAGAAACAGGAAAACAGTGGGTAACTTACCCAACAAGCTTGTTTAAATGGTTGACAGAAAAGAGAGTAGAAGGGATGGTGAAAAGATAAACCTTAGAGCTACAAAGGATACGAAGCTGTAGAGAACCATGATTGCCCATGTTATGAAGGGACACTGCACATTTAAGAACAATAAAGTAATTCTCTAGCTGTTCACAGATCATTTCAGCTATATTACACTAGTAACCATTTTCAAAATAAACAGTTTTTAACATTGCAATATCTTTTATCATTGAAGTTATTTAAGATTATCAAAAATTAGCTTAGTGTCAAGTTAAGGTGGGCAAATGTGCTTATTAACTTTGATGAGGTCAAATTCAAATCATGAAATTATTAGAGAATGAAAATATAAAAAATAACTAAATACTATTTACATTATTTGGACTATTGTCCTCATCTTTTTTGCAATATTTATTAAAATGTTTTGGCCGTTGTACACTCAGGCCTTCTTCAGGTGGTTGGAATGTCGAACTGAATCCTTTATTTTGCTAACTGGGGTAGACTATTCTAGTTCCAGGTGCCATGTCTAATGGATGTCAGTTATCAGTTATCCCCTGCTTAATTCCCTCTCCAAGTTCTCCATCATCTTAACCAGTTACTAACGCTTTTATCCACTGTATCCATTGATTTTTTTTTTATCCACTGTGGATAAAGGCATTACAACTTTTGCACAAAGTTGACCCTATGATGAGTATTATCACTGTGTATTGAAACAGTGCTACTTTGATTACTTTGCTGCATATAATAAATTGTTTTTTAATTTTACTTTAGATTCTAATAAATTCTATTTGTTCTTAACATTAAATATCAACACTACTCATTACTTTTGATGAAGATGGTTATGCTAATAAAAAGAATCTATAATTTAATTTCTTTATTTTTGATTGCTAATTTTCTTTCACAATTTGCACAAAAATCTAGAAAGATTGCAACTTTTTGCAAAAAATATGAAATATCATGATCACCTGTCCAGTAACCTATTAGTGTTATTGGGGCACCACATGTACTGCAGCTGTTGTAGAAGTGGGTGTCTCTAGGACAAGATAGTTTTGAATTCAAAGTTATCCTTATTCTAGACTGGTTGCTAAAGTTCTGTTCTCTTGTTTATGATGGCTTGAATTCAGCCATCCAAAGCAAAAGAGACCTTTCTGTCCTGCTATTTAACCCATAGCTGAAGGAACAAGGATTCATAACATTTCCAAGGGTATTAGTGCAAAATGAGCAAATCAGACTCTATCATAATTTGAACTCAGCATACCAATTCCACTTTTTACACTGATAGCCATTACTTTACATGCACATCCAAAATATCACAAATGTTTGCAAAACAAGAATCAAATCCTGACAGTTGGGATCAATTTTTCTAATTATAATTATTACATGAATAAATAATATTCTAAAAATTAGTGTCTTTATTAAATGTTGTTAAAACTAAATCTTAACCACCAGATTATATAGGATAACACTATTGTTTCAGTTATTTGTTAAGTAATATAAAATCTATAATTGTATAAATATTTTTTCAGAGTTAAATCTGAATTTTTTTACCAAATAATTTAATGACATTATGCCATGATTTTAAAATTCTCCTAATTTCTAATTTCAACCATATCATTCAAAATAATGCATACATTAATTTCACAAAAGTTACTGTAAAATAAATTCCTCAAGTTTGAAGGTAACACCTCATGCCAATTTGAAGTTGGGTAAGTGTTTTTAAAGCAAACAGTTTTTGTAAATTATTCTTTTTGGGGCTTTCCTATTTGACAAAAAATTATTTCATGAAAACTGTTTTTATTTTTAATTTTTCAGAGCTGTATCTGATAAAGAAAATGTGAAAAAAAACAAAAAGGCAAAATCTGATAAAAGTAAACCAGTAGTGAATGACTCTTCAACAACAAAGAAAGAAAAAAAAGGAAAGAAAAGGAAAGCTGAAGAATCAAATGATGTTATAGTTGAAAAGAAAAAAAGCAAAAAAAAATGCAAGGAAATGAAAAAGGAAGATGATGAATGTGAAATGAATAATGAAGTAAGTCTTTAGTGCAATTTTTCTTTTTTAATAAATAAACTATCATTTTGGAAAGCGAAAATTTCGCTGAAATATGTTGGAAAATTTTCAAGTTTTCATCTGAAATCAAGAAAATACAAACTTTAAACAAAATGGTTATAATATATAGAAAAAAAGAAATGTGTCAGGTTAAACTGATGCCAGAACAACATGGGTTAATATTGTTGCTTTTCTGGACAACATTATGGATTGATACACTTTTCATAATTGTTATTTTTTATGAGTTTATCTTTGCACAATCAGTGCAGTAACAATTCTTATGGGCTTTTTCTATAGATAAATAAATTATAATAACAGTTTAAGAAAGACATTTGTTTTTACAAGATCCCTATTAATATTTTTCTAGGTTTTAAAAATGCTGTTATTTTGTACAGACTTGTACAACTCAACCAAAAAATAATTTCAAGAAAATAATTTCTATCAATATTTACAAACTGCTTAATAAATGTTAAGTTTATATTTTTTGTATGAAATTGATTATTATTATGATTCCAGGTTTTGGATGTGATGCCACCAGTTTTTTTCAACTGGGATGAAACTCCCAAGGGACAGAATAATAAATGTGATGATGACAGTGAAGATGAGATGAGTCAAGATGAAGCTGCCTGTGTTAGTAAACATTTTTTTTATAAAAAATCCAGTTCAAATTCACATGAGACTATGTGTATGTATGTATGTATATATATATATATATATATATATATATATATATATATATTTCCCAAAACAAATTTTATTAAACAATACTGATAAGGTCTGTCTGTTCAACTTTTTATTTATTTTTTTCTAACTTTCAACTAAGTTGTTTTAGGTTAGAATTAATTTTCCAAAGTTCTTTTATTGTATCCATATTTTATATTTATATATATTATTATATGTAAATAATCTTATCAATTTAGGTAGTCTGTACCCTACTAGTTTTAAAGTAAGAATTAAACAAAGCTTTAACATTGTGGAGTGTCAATAAAATAATTACTTTCAAAAATTGTACAGGTTATCTCAGCTTATAAAGAGCTTGATAACTTTAAGTGAATCTTAACATGCAAATACTGCATTTGAGGAATGGTAGCAGTGACTCTTTTGAGATATGTTATTCAAAGAGGCAAACTAAAATTTCCCTGGGAAATAATTCTGCTGAATTTTACTTTTTTTTATTTTTCAAGTGTTTTAAATTTTTCTGTTTAAGTGTTTTAAGTTTAATTTGTCTACATATTGAATTTTATATTGTGATCTACAAAAGTAAAAAAAAAATTACTAATTTGATAATTTTAAAATAGGTTCAAATATTAGTCTGTCAACACTATTTTCATTTTTTTAATCAACTGAGAATTCATTCGCAACTTCTCAAAAGCTTCTATATGTTATTTTAAGGTTAAGTAATGGTCTCTGCATGGTATTTTTCAATGATCCTAACTCTTCTGAAAATTTTCAAGTGGTAAATAGATTCTACTATACCTTGAATTTTAAAATTTCATAATCAACAACTGATCTTCATCCACTTTTGGGCTTTATTTCAAGCAGTAAGTCACCATCTTAAAATGCTTTTGGCTAATTTGGTCAGATATTGTTTCATTTCTTTCTGTTTCTTAAATTCTGTAAGCAGCTTCAACAGTTTTGAGATCCAGTTTAAAATAACTTGCCCAATTCTCAATGATTGTATTTGCCATTACACTGATATGCCAAGACTCATAGTATGAGTGCCTAGTATTGTGTAGGACCACCATATCCCATAAATGCTTGATTGGGTTCCTATCCAGCAAATTTAGTGACCACACAATTTTTGTAAGTCTCCAGAATGCTCCTCAAACCAATTTGGTGATACCACTATTAGTTGGAAGTCTCCAGAATGTGACTCAAACCAATTCTGGTCAACTTTGGCTCAATGACATTTTGTTGGAATAAGCTATTGTTGTTTGGGTCCATAGAGTCCATGAATGTGTACAACTGGTCACAAAGCAGTCAGAATAGCAGTCACTGGTCAATGATGTGTTCAGGCAGACCAATGAACATACTGCACACCATTATGCAACCACCTCCAGCTTAAGGTCCATGAGGACTCTACCATATTCAAAACAACTAAAATCATGACTCATCAGGCCATACTACATGTTGCTAATCCTCCAAATTCCAATTACTAATGTCACAAACCCAGATGAAGTGCTATGGCCAGTGTTATGGTATTAACAAAAGCACTCTTGGTCTTTTACTCTCTTATCTCATGGAAACTAAAGAACACTGGACTGACTTTCTGTGGACATGTTTAGTTTCTCCATTGAATGTAGAATTAATTTGAACCAGTGTTGGTTGTCTGTTACTGCAAACAATTGTAAGCTTTTTTTAACACTAATGATTCATATCATGGTGCCAAGTGCAGCCTAGTTATTGTTCACACTGGTTGAACAGATGAAAGACTACTACTGATATAAGTCTGGGCATTTCCATAATGTCACGTTACAGTAGTGCCATCTACCATTACCTTTGCATACTGCTACCCATAACTTTTGGCACACCAATGTATAACAGCTGAAAAATGTTCATCTGAATAATACTCATAATGATGAGGTCATGATAATAATATAGAAGTCATACATAATTTTTAGATGTATACCTTAAATAAACTTTGGATTAAAGGTCTGTAAAAAAATAAAATACTTTTAATGCATCCTAATCTTTTTTAAGAAATAGTTTTATTTTCCCTCCAATAAAAATGACATCTCCAGCATTTTTATTCTTTACTTAAATTTCCATTTGAAATGTTTCTTTAATATAGACAAATTCAAAGATGTCAAAAGCCAAATTGAAAGAAAATCAACAGAAGGAAGAACAAAGATTATATGAGGTAAGAAATTTTATTTATGTTTTTAATTTCTTAAATGAAGAATTGTCAACTAATATTTAATTCATTTTAATTTCAGTTGCTTTTTATTGCAACTCTCATTTTACAAGTGTCAATGAGTAATATGGATTGAAAAAAGCCTCAATAAGTTTTGATCTCATATCTTGGGAAACCTGCCTTAACATGACAGTAAACTCTCTTCACTCTCTTTTTTAATGATGTGTTGCTTCAGGCCATAGGGGTCATGGCTCAATAGGGATTCTTTTTGTTTGTTATCTGTGTATTGCCATAACTTCTTGGGGGAAAATAGTAGAATATTTTCCCATTGCCTCCTCCATGGTTTTGTATTCAGAGTCATAATTCTCTTAGAGTGGCTGTTAGCCAAAGCTATACCCTGCTATTTAACCCATAGCTTGGGATGGGGAAGAAATAGATTCATGCTTTCCCAAGGAGTATTAGTGTGGAAGTGAACATAGACTAAGCTGAAATTTGAAATGAGCTTGCAATTTCACTTTCTATACTGATAATTATGCTACCACAGCATCACTTGACTCTTTGATTAAAATGCCTGTTGGAAAATTGCAATAAAAAGCAATTGAAATTAAGATGAAAGAAATACCAGTTAAAAAATAAAGATTTTTCATGATATATTTTAAAATTTCTACTGTAGAATTAAATTTTCATTCAGTTTGTATAAATTATAATATTTTAAAAAATCCTTTCAAAATAATTCATTAAAGCCGATACAATGAAAATGATTGATTCTGTTTATTACAATTATAGTTTGTCCCCTATAATCTACAAGAGAGAAAAATCTATTTTATATTAACTTCCATATTCAATTTAGGTTTATTTTGTTTTACAGAATATCAACCTCAATAGTTTATTTAATGCTGACAAGAATTTTAGAATAGATTTGTATGAGTAGTATATGTATTCTTTGTTAGAAATCTTTGTAGGACATCAGGTTTCATTGACATATTTTTGTAAAGAGGATTTGTAGAGAGTCCGGTTTCATTGATGTATTCTTTTCAGATATACAATTTGTAGAGGAGTTGGTTTTATTGGCATTCTTATTTGGTTTATATTTTTTTGTATAGGCCCACTGTTTTAAGAAATAATATTTGTCATCCATTTTTGCTTTTTTGAAGAGTTCATACATGTTCTTTATATTATATTTGTCTTGAGAGAGCAAGGTCTGAACACTTAGTTAATATATTTTTAATAGTGTATGTAATTTCACATGCTTGACATACTGGTTGATCTTCTTGTTTAGCAAGTATGAATGGGTTATTCCTGCATGGCTAATGCATAAGTGGGCCAGTACTACTACTCCTTCCTTTTGAAACACAACTTCCATTCTCCTAGTTTGGGCTGAATTGTGAAAAACTCATTGTGTAGGTTATCCTCCCAGCACTGTTGCCATTTCTTTTGAATATACTTGTTAATTACCTCCTTAAACTCAGTGTATGGGATTTTGGTCCTTGTGTCTACATCCATATCTAAAGCTGATTTGGCTGCTAGATCTCCTTTATTGTTACCTTCAACTCTGATGTAGTTAGGAATCCAACATAGTTTGATGTCTTTATGTTTGCAAGTAGTGCTCATTTTGCATAATAGTTTAATAATGAGTGGGTTGTTTCTATATTGAACGTGATACAGGATTGCAAAGATATACAGTTTTGTTTAAGCAGTGTTCAACTTGAAAGATGAATATTTGGTTGATTGATTTTAAAAAATTGATTAAAAGTGAATAAGACAAAGCAGATAATTTAAAAAACATTAAACTCCTGGGTAGTAAAAAGGGAGAGGAAAGGGGATATATAAAAGTACAGCCAACTTTTATATTTAAAAGCAGCTAAGACTTACAGCCACATCATATTGAAACACTGGTTCCCGTACGATCACCAAAGTTAAGTGATGTTGAACCTGGTCAGTAACAAGAGGAGTGACCGCTTGAAAATGCCAGGTGTTGTAAACTTTGGATGTGCAGGTGGTATAATGGATAATGGTTCAGAATTGTTAATTGGAGACCTGAGTTCCAATTCCAGTTGGGTTCATTATATTCACTTATGCACAAATATCCTTGTGAAAGATATGAATCCCCCAGCTATGGGTTAATTAATGACTTGTATCACTAAGCCATTATCATTTCACTCCCTCAAAAATTCTTACAATCTAAAAATATTTTCTGGCTTAAAGTAACTTGAAAATGTTTGATAAATCATAGAAAATCAATCAACCAATAAAAACCAACTAAGCACTGTTTTTGCGGTTCATGCATCAACCAATTGCATGATCTTTCAATATTGGTGCTAAACAAAAACCTGAAAGAAGTGCCATTCAGTTTAATTGCTCCAATGTCTCAAGTTTCAGGAACAATTTATAGATTTTCTTTTTTCTTACCAAATAAGTAATTTGCAATCAAAGTTAGAGTTCAACCCAAAACTGAACATTTTCTTTTTGTTGTAATGAATATATTGCAAAATAAGACATTTTCCTTTAGTCTTAACTTTGCTTCATAGTTTATTCCAGTTTCTTCTGTCTTGACTTTGTTTACTAATTTTATCGAATTTGTTCAATACATCATTTTCTATTAGACCATGATTCTTTTCAGTTTGGCATGATAATTGGTAATATGTCAGACTTATTTTTTAGTTTTGGTTTTTATCACAGATCCATTGTACTGATTCAGTTGGACAAGGCTTTTCTTTAATCTTGATTTTTCTAATTTCTTCCAGAAATTTCTGGGTATCAGCAACATGCTACCTCTTGTATTTAGTTTTATGTCCAATAAACATTATTAATTCAAAGACCCTTTCCCATTTCTTTTTTTCAATGAAAATATGTCCATACTTATTTTCTCTTCATTTTGTTGGACCGTCTCTATGTTTCTGTTTTTAGATTTACACATACATTTAAAATGATTCATTTTGGAACACTTTTCATATCTTTTTTATATGCCAAACATTTTGTTTTTCTCTTTGATGTTGATAACCACAAAAAGTACACATTATTCTGTCTTTTCTCTTTATTGTGTATGTGTCCATTTCCTCTACCAGATCCATAACTTTTGTCGTATTAAATTTATGAATCAACTCTTGTTGCTGAACAGATTTAACACACTGTTCTAGTGACAACTTTCCGTGCTATAAATGCATTAGAGTCATTTGCCGATATTCCTCTTTTTGTAGGCCATTTACCAATTTCATTTGGATCAAATTCTCTTCAATTGACTAGTTTTCTGCTCCCAATTTCTCAAATTCACAATATTTAGTGGCCTCTTTCAAATAAAGAACATATTCAATAACTGGTTCATTCACTTTTTGAGAAATGCTCATGATCTCAGCTCTCTTTGCATTCACTAGTTTTTTCTTGGGTGCTATATTTCTTATTATTTGTTGACATATCATCAAACATCATCTCCTTCAACTGCCTTAAGTGTGCAATTGCTGATAATTTCATAATGGTCTCACAACCAGCAGTTGCCAAGACGAGATCAGTTATCTGGTTTTCTACCCCAAGTGATTTTAGATTCTTCAGGTTTTTTGTTCTAGATTTAGTTGCTAGAATCCTAAGCCATGCTTGTGCATACTCATAATTATCCAATGATAATTGTTCAGTTGGATCTTTAGATATCCATGATACCATTGTAGTGTAGTGTTATTGCCTCAAAGGAAGTAGCATGTACTCAACTGCTGATGGGTAATAGCCATAGCTATTTATAGTTTTAGTGACTTCCTATATAAATGAGATACCTCACTACCTGTGATCTTTAGTATATCAGTGTAAAAGCCAGGTAGGCATGACTTAAAAAAATATTAATTGAATTTGCTGTTAGCAAAAGTAATGTATTTTTTAAGAATAGTTGATTATAGAGGTATAATTATAACATGACCCCATTCTTGTTTCCTTTACATCTTATGTCACTGTCTGGGAATTTTACTGTACAAGTTGATCTTCCATACTCACGTTGTGTTTAAGTTTTTAATTTCAGGAAGCTTTAGGTGAAATTGCTCAAAATATCCACTGGAACGAAAGGAATAAATTACAAGAAAATTAAAGAAGGAAGTGACTTTCAGAACAGTGCTGACTCTTGCTTGTAAAAAACAAATCACATAGAATTTAATTGTTGAGTTACATTTATCAGTTTAACCCTTTCCAGTTCTGTAGTATTGTGGTTTATCTAATTATAAGTTTGTGAGATAGTATGTTTCAGTCTTATTGATAACATATTGCAAAAGCAATAGCAGTGCTCTGAACTGGTGAATTAGTTCAATAATTCAGTCAGGGGACTTTGGTCTCAAGCCTGCAAACTAAGTTGGTCTCCAAAACTACTAGTTGATAAAATTATTCTCAGGCAGTATCTTGAATTGAAATGGCTGATGGAGTAAGTAGCAAAGAGAATTAGTGATGTCAACTACTCTGCTATATTTTGTCCTGACTGCCTGTATCTGAGTGCTCCCTCCTGTCTTGGCTACTGATGCAACTAAGCCTTTTCCATATTTATGGTGAACAGGTTTCTTTCAGCTGTCTGGCTACAAGTTAATTTGATACATAATTGAGAAGTATTTTTTGCAAATATTACATCAATGATTATTTCCAATCAAAAGTAACAATTAATCAAGCACCATTCTCTGGGGTTTTGTATCGAACAATTGCAAGAACTTTTAAAATTGGTGCTAAAAACAAATCCTGAAAGAAGTGCCATTCAGTTTAATTGCTGCAATGTCTCAAGTTTCAGGGACAAATTATTTTACATACTTTAAATTGAAAAATATAAGGTAACAGTAGGACTCATAAGTAAGCTTTAATGTCACATAGGGGCTTTAAAATATTAGACTTCTCATCTTTGAATTATAGCTTTTGCTTTTCATTCCATGATGTCATCTTTTTCATTAACCTTCATCCAATGTCAGTTGGCTGTACCACACTGTGCTGCATTCCAAGTGAAATTCTAAAAATTACTAAGACAAATGTAATTTTCTTGCTCTATTTAAAATTAAACCAAATTAAAATTTACTAGTTCTTACAATTAGATACTAATGTTTTTTACATTTAAAAATAAATACTACTAATATCTAAATTTATTAGTATTATTTATTTTTAAATGTAAAAAAAAAACAAAAAAAAAATTTGAGGAGGCATAGTTGAGTAATGGATAGCAGCTAGGATTGAGGAATTGGAGAGCCAAGTTCAAATTCCAGTCAAATACATTACATTCACTTACGTGCTAATACCCTTGGGAAAGGTATGAATCTTCTTCTTCTCCCCTCCAGCTATGGGTAAGTAACAGGACAGACTGGGTTCTATAGCCTTGGATGGCAACTGGTCTACCATAGAAAGAAATGGCAACCTACTGCAGGGAAAAATCTACCTCATCAATCATGTATCAAAAGATGCATGATCACCTAAGCGCGTATCACATATGGCACATAACTGAATATCTAAATTTAAGTCCTTCAATTCTCATTTCACTCACCAGTTTAAAAAGAAGCATTTAATTTTTGTGTGTGTGTGTGTGTGTGTGTGTGTGTGCACACACGCTCCATTTATTAAAAACCTTGCATTATTGGTGAAAAGTAGTAATTTTATTTTAAGAAATTTGTTACTTTTAAAATAAATAAATATAATAGAATTTTAATTAAAAAATTTTTTGTATCATCCTAGTATCAACCTGTGAACCCTATTCAGTTTATCTGAAAGTAATGTTTTACCATCCCCCTACACAACAAGACAATGTTAATTATGAGCACTGGTCTTAATCCCCCTGGGTGATGGAATCAGTGTATACTAAGCCAGTGTTTTTTCAAACTTTTTTTTACAGCAAGAACCACATTTCGTATTGTAACTCATTATACCTATTTGTAATAAATCAAAGACAAACACTATTCACTAGGTTTGTTTATTTAGCATCAACAATTTATATCTATATTTCTTTTGTTCCAAACATATTGGAATTGCATGTATCTATTTGTATGAATTATAAAATTATTACTCTTAAAAAATATTAGCCCATTCTTAAATTTTGCTAAAACAACAGGTAACTCACTGAAAATTCTGAGACTACAAATGAACACAATACATCATCTTACTATCACAGAAACAATGTACTGGTTCTCAACTTCTACATTGAGTCAGGAAATTCACTTTTAGCTTTGACTTCAGATGTAATTAAATTATTCAACAATCTTAATGGCTTTCATCAGCTACAAAGACAAATGCACTGCACACGTTCATAGCAAAGTATTGGTGCAAGGTCTCTTTGTGAGAGAGAACTTACGTCACTCAGTCCACAATGAGTTTGACAAAAAAGACACATGAACTCAATGAGAACAGACTATATATATATATATATATATATATATATATATATGAGCTTACCTCAGTGAAAAACTAGCAATGATTTATGAGTGCCATGCAACATTTACAGTTGTTTATTTTTTGCACTTTACTCACACTTGGCTGTTTTTTTTTTCTTTCTTTCTTTTTGTCATGACCCATTTTATTTATCTCATGACCCACTGAAGGTTTGGGACCCATAGTTTGAAAAACCTTGTTTTAAGCCTCACCAATAGGACATACAAAGAAGGCAATATTCTTGAACGGATGATTTTTCCCAAAATTACAGATATTACTATGATTTTTTATCATTTGTTGCAAATTTTTGGTTCTGGAGTTAGGGTAGAAGTTTTCATTGTACATTATTTTGCATTTGTATATATATATATAATATATGTTGTATGTTATTTTGTTGTATATATATATATTATTATATATATATTATATATATATTTATATATATATATTAT